TAATCTTAAGGTAAAAAAAAGGTAAAAAAAAGGTAAAGGACCCCTGGATGGTTAAGTCCAGTCAAAGACAACTATGGGGTTGCGGCGCTCATCTCGCTTTCAGGCCGAGGGAGCCGGCGTTTGTCCACAGACAGCTTTTCCGGGTCATGTGGCCAGCATGACTAAACCAGTTGTGGCACAACGGGACACCGTGACAGAAACCAGAGCATGCATGGAAATGCTGTTTACCTTCCCACCGCAGCGGTACCTATTTGAAGCGGGTGGCGCTGTGGTCTAAACCACTTAGCCTCTTGGGCTTACAGTCTTACCACAGCGCTAGAAGAATGTACATAGACTCAGCAAGCCATCCATCTTGGCAGAACAGATCACTCCAAGAAGCCTTATCGGTGCAGCCCATCTCTACACACAACCGCCAGCTGCTGCTCAAATCGGTCCAGTGATCCTATATGATGCTTCTTCCAGATAGGAGCACCAACCATGCGGAAAAGCAAAGTATATTAGTATCCTGCTTGAAAGATGCTAAGATTTTGCCACCTGTTTTTTGTTTGTTGTTGTTGTTGTTTAGTCGTTTAGTCGTGTCCGACTCTTCGTGACCCCATGGATCAGAGCACACCAGGCACTCCTGTCTTCCACTGCCTCCTGCAGTTTGGTCAAACTCATGCTGGTAGCTTTGAGAACACTATCCAACCATCTCGTCCTCTGCCGTCCCCTTCTCCTTGTGCCCTCCATCTTTCCCAACATCAGGGTCTTTTCCAGGGAGTCTTCTCTTCTCATGAGGTGGCCAAAGTATTGGAGCCTCAGCTTCAGGATCTGTCCTTCCAGTGAGCACTCAGGGCTGATTTCCTTCAGAATGGATAGGTAGAGTGTTTTTCTCCTCTTTCTTATCTTTCATACGGCAGTTGCATGAGATTACTACCCGGCAAAGCCTTATTATTCAAAGAAAAGCCTATACAGCACCTGCCGTATACAGTTACCCCAACAGATAGTGGAGGGGGACGACGACGACCCTTATCTTGCATGTTTTTAAACTATGTGTACTTAATCTAGCCATATAGGCAAGATACAACTGCTTACGCTCCTTTAGTCAGCGAGATCTAGTCGCATCCTCAACACCAAGCACACTTTCATCGTTCCTTATCTTCACATTCCTGAAGATTAAGAAGTATTATTATTATTGCTACCGTTATATTTCTCTTTGCAGCAGCAAGGTTAAGAGCTGACTCGGAATGTGATCCCAGGGGATGGGTGGGAATATACGGCTTGAATTAAAGGGAGCTAGAGGGGGCCTAGCTTTCTTAGCCATTTGTGGCAGCCCCTCTAGCTACTACGTTTAGAAGCCTATGGAGTCAAGCTTGATTTGGGTTAGACTAGAAAGCAGGGGTTGTGGGTTTAATTAAGAGCCCCCTTACGTCTTGCCCTGTAACTCAAAACACTGGAGTGAGGGTGGAGAATAAGCTATGAAACTACAGTCGTATCTTGCATCCCAAACACTTTGCGAGTCAAACGTTTTGGCTTCCGAATGCCGTAAACCTGGAAGTGAGTGTTCCGGTTTGGGAACGTTCTCTGGAACCCGAACGTCCACCGCAACTTCTGATTGGCTGCAGGAGCTTCCTGCAGCCAATCGGAAGCCGCGCCTTGGTTTCCAAATGTTCTGGAAGTCGAACGGACTTCCGGAACAGATTCCGTTCGACTTCCGAGGTACCACTGTATATGTGAACAATGCAGAAGAGATGCCTTTCTGAATAAACCCTATCAAAACACCTGTGATCATGGGAACCATTCAATGTGAGTAAAGGGATAAAAGTGCCATGCAAATGATGAACAGTAAAGTTTTTCCCTTCAGCTGGTTAATAGTGTTTCAAAAATGAAAGTAATGAATAATGTGTGGTCGAAATCAAGCTCAGAGCGTTTTAATAATATGCATAGCTGAGCCTGTTTTCCTTTTTTGACCTACTGGGAATGGAGCCTTTATGACAGGAGACGGGTTTCTCACCTGTTCTTATCTCTTGTTGTTGTTCTTGGTGGTTCTGAGTCATGTTATGGCCATCTTGGTTGTGAGTCCTGGAGGACCTGCTCCCTGCCTTGCATAGCTTTTCCACCTGGCTTCGGAGGGAAGAGCCTTGACTGACTCCAACCCAAAACCGGAGGCTGCTGAGGAGGCCAGAGACCATCTTGGTTGTGAGTCCTGGAGGACCTACTCCCTGTCCTACAGGCGATTTTCACCTGACCTGGGAAAGCAGGGCCTGACTGACTCCAGCTACAAAAGCTGAGGCTGCTGAGGAAGCCAGAGGTCATCTTTGCTGTAAGTCCTGGGGGAACTGTTCCCTGTCTTGCAGGCTTTCCCCAGCTGGCTCTGACTCCAGCTACAAAAGCTGAGGCAGCCGAACAGACTCTTGGGTTGGGGGATTATTTAGAAGGTTCTGTTGCTGTTATAATTGCCCTAGTATGTTTTCAATTGTTTTTAACTGCTTTTAAACTTGTTTGTTTTAAAATTTGTGGGTTTCGTTGTTTTTTAAATTGAGGGATAAAAGATATGCGTGGGAAGAGAACAGGGGAAAGCAGGGCTGATCACAATTGCAGTGGCTCTGGACAATAGGAGGTATGGGGGTCGGCCGGGTAAGGGGTAAGGGGTAAGGGGTATACAGTACAGGCAGTTTGTGACTGCCATGTGCCAGCCTCTCCTCCAACCTGGAAATTGCAGTTGTCCTATCAGCGACTGCTGTTGCTGAATGCTAGGTTGGCTCCCAGTAAGACCTCCTTCATGCACAATCTGATTATGCATGAGAAGCCCGATCTGGTATCACTGAGATCTGGGTGGTGAGCAGGGCGGAGGTGGTCTCACCCAGCTGTGACCACCTTTGCCTTCGGTGCAGCATCAAGGGTAGACTTGAAGGTCAGGGAGAGGAAGTTGTTATAGAGATTCCCCCTCTCTCTCTCTTAAGGCTCTCTGTCCAGTTAATGGGGGATCTAGAGTGTGTGTTCCTGGCATTGGGCAAATTAGAGATTCTGCTTGTTTGCTGCCTGCCTTGCTGCCCAGCAGCTTCCCTGCCTGAGCTGACAGAGGTTGTCTCAGAGGCAGTGTTGAAGACTCCCAGACTGCTGGCTCTGGGGGACTTCAACATCCATGCCAAGGTGACTGGCTCTGGGTGCCTCAGGACTTCATGGCGACCATGGGGCTGTCGAAACATGTCACTGGCCCAATGGCTCAAACAAGAGTGGAGGAAAACTCCAGTCAAATGCAATCAGATACTGGCGAAGGCTCATCATCAAGTCTACCTAGGGAAGTGAAGGCAATGAAGAAGTTATACAGTGGTACCTCGGGTTAAGTACTTAATTCGTTCTTAACCTGAAACTGTTCTTAGCTAATGGGGCGTCCTGCTGCCGCTGCGCCACCAGAGCACGATATCTGTTCTCATCCTGAAGCAAAGTTCTTAACCCGAGGTACTATTTCTGGGTTAGCAGAGTCTGCAACCTGAAGCGTATGTAACCTGAAGCGTATGTAACCTGAGGTACCACTGTACTTTGCTGATTCCATTACATCCTCATTGGGCCGTCCAGCAGAGCTATTCTGGGTAGTACGGGGCCCCTTACCGTCTGGCCTGAAGGAGGTGGCAGAATGGACGAGAGCGAACTGTGATTTGTTTGCAAACCATTTTAAGGATAAAATTGTGTACACACCCACCCACCCACCCACAATCAATTAGTCTAGCTCAGGCTTCCTCAAACTCGGCCCTCCAGATATTTTTTGGCCTACAACTCCCATGATCCCTAGCTAGCAGGACCAGTGGTCAGGAATGATGGGAATTGTAGTCTCAAAAACAACCGGAGGGCCAAGTTTGAGGAAGCCTGATCTAGCTACTACACGTTGGGCAAAAAAAACCCCTGCAATGCAAAGGGTTGGACTAGATTGTCCTCGTGGTACAATTCTAATGCATTTCTGATTTTAGTGTGCTATACACACATGCATATGGCCAGTGCTTTTTTCCTTTAAAAATGTGTTTTCTAAAAAAACAGAGTGACAGAAATTGAGGCCACCATTGGGGGTAGCAATGGAACTGATGATTCACCATGCTGGAGAAGAAAATAAAAAATTTAAAACGATTCACAAAATGTTTAGGGTTATGCGTACCCCCCCATTTAAAAAGCACTGCATGTGGCAGAAGCCCACCAACTATGGGAAAATTACTTCATTTCCCCAGGATGCACGCCCATCCCCACAAACCACATGATAAGGAGAGTAGGAAACTCTTTTCAAAGCAGGAGGGGGAATAAGAAGGAAATATGCATGAAGGATTTCCCCCCCCCGAATAATATTTATTATTTTCAGTAGATAAACATAATAAAAAAGAAGAGATTAACAATAATAAAGACAAACAAAAAATAGGAGAAAAAGAGAAAAAAGATACATACAACATATTACCACTTAATTAATTAAAATTAAGTACCATCCATCTTCATAAACATAGTATTTGACTTCCTTGAATCTTTTCCATCCGAATTTCTTAGTAATTATATGTAGCAGTTTCCAATATCAGTGTTTCAAAATACCATATCACAGTCCTAATCATATTACATACCGTATTTTTCGCCCCATAGGACGCACCGGCCCATAGGACGCACCTAGTTTTTTGGGGGGGAAATAAAGAAAAAAAATTTATTTCCCCCCCCAGGTGCGGGGCTGGGGCGGGGAAAGCCCGAGCTTCCCCCGACCGCGGCCCCCAGAACAGGCTGCTATCCGCAAGCCGTGGGAGAGCTGCGCGAAGCCCGAAGCTTGGGGCGTGCTGAGCTCAGCGCGCCCCAAGCTTCTGGGTGCAGGCAAGCTCTCCGCTAGCCGTGGGAGAGCTGCGTCTCCCACGGCTAGCGGATAGCTTCCTGAAGCCTGGAGAGCGAGAGGGGTCGGTGCGCACCGACCCCCCTCGCTCTCCAGGCTTCAGCGAAAGCCTGCATTCGCCCCATAGGACGCACACACATTTCCCCGTCATTTTTGGAGGCGAAAAAGTGCGTCCTATAAGGCGAAAAATGCAGTAACTTTCCTTATCATACATTTTCTTATTTATAAATTTAAATCCATTTTAATCCTAGGCCTAATTGTTTCTTTCAAGTGGTTACATATCTTTAATATTACAATATTTATTCAAATAGTCTTTAAATTTCTTCCAATCTTCTTGGTGTTCCTCTTCTTTCTGGTCGCGGATTCTCCCGGTGAGGTCAGCCAGCTCCATAAACTCCATCATCTTCATCTGCCATTCTTCTACCGTTGGTAATTCTATGCATGAATGATTTTTGGATGAAAGAACATGGGCAGCTTCAGGAGTCGTTGCGGCCTACATAAAATGAGATCGGGGGGTCACATAGGGCCACCAGGCTGCAGGTTGCCCACCTGTGCTGTCAATTGTCAGAATAAGCATAATCCCATCCTATATATATCTTATGCATACCGTGCTTCTGTGTTTTTATAGTTCAGAGCATGAATAGTTTTTTCCAGTCAGGCTGATTCATACATTTGTGAATGCTCAGTCCGTGAATCAGTCTGACAGAGTATCTGGATCTCCAGCCTTGCAGAATTGATCTTTTAAAAATTAATGCCAATAGCAACCTATAAGCAACATTTTAGGCCCACTAAAGACTCAGTGAACGTCTCGCTTTCTTGCCTGCTTTGAGCAGGAGAAAACCGGGTAGGGTGGGAGCAGACCCCCATAGGGCAGGGGGCAGAAGTTGCTCAAGTCTTTCAGATAAAGTCAGGATTCTCACCCATTTTGCTAATTATATTTCTCTTTATTTACATAATCGCACACAGAGAACCGCTGGTGGTAATATTACTCCACATATTAAACAGGAATATAAATGGTAGTGCTCTTCTGAATGTGACATAAGAGTGTCAAAGAGCATTCCCACCCCTTAATAAACTTAAGGGCCCATCTCGACTTGCCCACAAAATCCGTATGTTATGTAACCGATTTGTCCCCTGGCAGTCCACACCTCAGCAGGTTATATTCAGATGCGATTCTAATCCGAAGTTACCATTCTCCTCATTTTGCACCATTTGCTTTTTTTGAACTCCACATCAACAAAGAACCCACCACCACAGATAAAGCTGGTGGGAGCACTTTTAAAGCACAGTGGATGTCCTTTTTAGATTCTACAAGGCTAGGGGGAACTCTGGATTTAGCAGGGAAAAAGTCTGGGACAGAGGCTGTTTCTGGGGACGAGGGTGGGGGACTAAAGGAAGCACAAGGGGTGCATATTATTCCACATTAAGACGAGGTGTGGATGGGCCCCAATAACTCTTTTAAATCTCTTCACTGAGTGGCAGAGCTTGCACAGTATCTTGAATTTCTCTATGCGCTGCTGGCAGACCCTCCAGGTGTCCCACAGAAGCCAAGCTGGTTTCTGATTTGATCCCAGAACATCCCGCTTTTCTTTAAGACATCTGTACAGTGGTGCCCCGCAAGACGAATGCCTCGCAAGACGGAAAACCCGCTAGACGAAAGGGTTTTCCGTTTTTGAGTTGCTTCGCAGGACGAATTTCCCTATGGGCTTGCTTCGCAAGACGAAAATGTCTTGCGAGTCTTGAGATTTTTTTTTCGCTCCCCCCCCCCTTTTTCTAAGCCGCTAAGCCGCTAATAGCCTTTTAGCAGCTAATCCGATAAGCCGCTAAGCCTTTAATAGCCGCTAAACCGCTAATAGCGCTAATCCGTTAAGCCGCTAATAGGGTTGCTTCGCAAGACGAAAAAACCGCTAGACGAAGACTCTCGCGGAACGGATTAATTTCGTCTTGCGAGGCACCACTGTATTTTCACCTGCGAAATGTTGGAGATGGACTTATGTGGCCCCCAAGCCAACCTTTAGAAGACATCTCAAGGCAGCCCTGTATAAGGAAGGGTTTTTAAAAAATGTTTAATGTTTTATTGGTTTGTTTATGTTGGGAGCTGCTCAGAGTGGCTGGAGCAACCCAGTCAGATGGGCGGGGTATAAATAATAAAACGATGTTGATGATGAAATGGGACGTTCCTCTTTTCCTTGGAGGGTTACGAAGGAAGCACAATGTTGTGCACGTTATTCCACATTAAACCAAGGTGTGAACCTTTTGAAATCTCTTCGCAGAATGGCAGAGCTTGCATAGCTAGTATATTGAATTTTTCTATGTGCTTAAGCGTTTTTGGCTCTTTTTGGGGAGTGAAAGAAATGCGGGGACGGGGAGAAGGAAGAAATGGGAGGTGATTTAATTCCCAAGAGCAGAACTCTGGATCTTGGCCACAGGGTCTTCGTTGGCCCGGGCCTTAATCTCTTCCCTCTCCCGCCCTGGGTAAGCACCAAGTTCCCCACTCTTTTTTCCTGCTCCACCCTGCAATGGCTTAAACTTCCAAAAACCCGACGCCTTCTCCCCAGGGAGCCACGTGAGGGCCGGGCAACCTTCATTTGCACACCAAAAGCCCTGCAAAAAAAGCAGCGAGGAAAGACAGAAGCTACAACAAATATATATATTTCCCCACCGCCCCACGCACGCCCACTTCCCCTCTGCCCAGGAAACCGCTGGCCCCCACCACGCATGCGCCTCGGCAACCTTTCCTCCGCTACGCCGCTCGCGTAGGGCAAGCTGCGGCGCCGCATCGGGCGGCGAAAATTGCGTAGCGCGCGCGGGCGCAGGAGGAGGAGGAGGAGGAGGAGGAGAAAGCCGGTTTCGGCGCAGCGCGGGGAGGTCGGCGCCCGGCGTAAGAGGCTTTGGTGAATGGCCGTAAGAGCGCGTGAGGCCGCAGCGGCGGCAGTAGTAAAGTAGTAAAAGCTTGCAAGCCCAAGCCAAGCTCACCCGCAGGAGGAGCAGCAGCAGCAGCAGCAGCACTGCGGAGTGGGAGGAGGAGGCGGCACCCCGCGCGCGCGCCGGCGGTTTTTGGTACCGAGCGGAGAGAGGGAGATGCACACGGCACACTCGAGCTGAGGTAGCTATAAAAACCCCGTTGGTTCGCGTTCCCTCCCCCATAAAGGCCGGCCGGCTCTGAGGCGGCGGTGGCGGTGACATGGCGAGAGTAGCGAGGGGGGGTAGCTGGGATCCGCAGCGCGGCGGGGCAGGCCCCTCGCCAGCCTGTGGAGAAAAATGAGGCGGGGTTGGTTTGCCGTTTCCCGCCGTCGCCTCGCTGCCTCCCCCCCCCCAACACTGTTGCTAAGGGGGCTTGGTGGGCGTCGGAAGGAAACTAGGATAACGTGTGAGGGGATTGTGTTGGCCGGGGGGGGGGTTCTTTTCCACACAGCCTGCCACCCCCTTCTCATCCTTCCCCTCAGGTGAAGCGGGGTGGGGTGGGGGGCTCGCAATGGCGGGGGGGGGGGAGAGACGAAGCGCCCGTTGGGCCTCTTTGTTGCTGCTGCTGCTTCTTGTAAGCTGCCTCCTCAGGTGTGGCTGAGGAGAAGGCGAAGCAGACAAAAGGCTCTTGCTCCCAAGGCGGCGGTGGTTCTCCGATTCGGAGACCGGCGTTGGCGGCTCGCCCTTCTCTTCCCCCTGCTTTCCTTTGAGGGGATGGCGGGGAGGAGAGGGCGCCGCCAGCATCGGTGGGCCTCGTGGCGGCGGCGGCGCCCGCCCCTCTTTTCTCCATCCCATGCTCCAGCTGCAGGGCTTAAGCGATCGGGCCTGGCCCACGTGTTGGTGGTGGGTGCACGGTGCAAGGCCCACGGGTGCTGCTGCTGCTGCTGCCGCCCTCTTTTGTTCTCGGGGCTCATGGTAGGTAATCTCTTTGGCCCACCCCACTGAAAGGTTGGCAAAGCACTGGGGAAAAGGAAAAGAAAAAACAAACAGCAGCCCACTGTGGCTGCCCATGGTTTCTTTGCCCTGAAGGTCTTCTAAGTTGCTGTGTTTGGGTTCTCTGCAGCATGCGCCTCGCACCTTAGTGTGACAGTATCTTTGGTGTTGGGATGCCTGCCATGCGAAATGTTAAAGGTGGGGGAACTTTAAAAAAAACACCTTGTGCACCCTTTGTTTCTCTTCTCCGAGGTGTGGAGGTTTGAACCCTTCTCAATAAACGATCAAGCTGCTGTTTTGCTTCTGGCTGTGGTCTCTTGCTTGACCTGACCAATCGGGAATGGGTGGACCCAACGAAGTTGGGAAATGCAACATACCCCCAAGAATTTGTCTTTACCAGATTTCAAGGGCGATGGCTTGCTTTCCCATCCCATGAAGTTGTTGCATGTCTTGCGCCCCAATTTTTCTTTCAAAAAAAGTCTTAACAAAACCACACTGAAATAAATCGCCATAAGGGTATTGCTAAACCACAACAGCACTGATTGGGAAGAAAGAACTTGGTGGTAGAAAATGAGCCTCAGTAGTTTTTATTATTATTTGAATTTATATACTGCCCTACACCTGGAGGTCTCAGGGCGGTTCACAGAACAAAATATAAAACCACAAAATATGGTGCCCTAACCTGGATGTGATGAAAAGACTAGTGCTAAAAAGGACAACTGGTTCCAGTCCCGCTCTAGTAGTGTGTTTAACGTGTGGTTAGTTGCACGAGAATCCTGATTCAAATAATGCAGTGCAAATAGGCTAACTTCATTTGAGTGCATGTTTGTTCCCAATCCCAGCAAGGGTAGCTGCTTCTCCTTGCGTGAATTGTGGCATCTGTGATCAAGTTGCTGCAGATGGAAGGTAGGCTGTGGCTTGTTTTGGTAGAGCAAAATATTGCAATGACATAACAGGACTGTGGTGTTCAGGGATGCAGCTGACATCTTTTTAATAAACTTAACAAAAGTGGCATACCAACGGTGGCACTTTTCTAAAAAGTGACAATACAATACAATTGATTGTGTATACCAACATGTGCTGTTAAAAACAAAACTCCCCTTGTCAGTACAGCAGCTGCTTGTATGTGTGTGATTTTGAACTATTAATATAGGGAAGAAATTTAAGTAGATCTTTAAAAAAGTATAAAGTGGGGTGTCTTTGTCAAGTCCTGCAATGCTGGATCCGTTTGATGCTGCTAATATTGCACTTGGCAGCAAAAAAGGACAAAATATCCTCTATGATTTGTTAAATGTACCAGTCAGGGTCAGGAAGAGTTTTTAATAGGTTGCTTTCTGCCTTCTGTAACAAGGCCTTTTTAGAAATTAGTCCAGACTTGGTTTTCAGAATTGAGCTACAGATTACGTATTCTAGATTGTAGGTGGATTGTAGCATAAATCTTACTAGACAAGTAATATTTGATGTACTAATGAATATTGATTTGGAGGGGGAGGGAATGTGAAGTGGAAGTTAACATGCTAGTACAAACTGTTCTAATCCCAAAGTATACACTGCTTGATCCTGTGAGTTCTTAGAAGTAAATCTTAATGTAAGTTTTCATTAGATTGTCGGCTAATTGGGCCTTTTCCAGATAAGTGTAGGATTGCATCCTAAATCGCCCTGTCATTGAACACAGTGAGTTACTTCTAGGTAACCCTGAGTAGGAGCAGGCTGCATAACATTGTACTAAAGAGATTTCTGTAACAGCTTCAGCAAGCTGTTTGTTTAATAAAAGCACATTAACAAACAAATGTGATTTGTGGGCAGTGTTCTACCATCTGGGCATCTGCTGTTCCTTCTTTTTTCATAATTGTTTTTCCCAAATAAAAAGTTTAATTGTGCCTCTGTGTACAGAGTTTAATCTTGACATTTTATGATGTAGGTCTTCGGACAGACAGTGTTACTACGCTGGACATGAAAGAATAGGTTGAACTGGCTCGGGAAATTTGCATACACCTCTGTACTGCATATTGATTTTTCATGGTGCAGGAGGGCACATACATCTCCCAAAGCAGCTTTGCACATTTTGTAGACTTCTATTTTTAGGGAGTTTGGCAATAGTTGCCCATTTCCTGCCCTTCTTGCCTAACCTCCTTGCCCTTCATTCCTACCATTGCCTTTCTCACTGATAAGGTGTTGAGCACTTGGTTTGTTCCCTCTGCCTCAGAGCACGTTGTCCTGACTATTATGGCTAAAAGATGAGGACCCAGAACACATATGCAGTACTGATAATGAGTGTACTTTGGCTAAGCTTCTATTCCACAAAGGGTTCCTGGCTCTTTGCCACTAGAAAAATGATATAGAGAAATGCACACATAGTTCAGGTTCTTGCATAAGTTACAGTACGGGTGTGGAACTGAACCAGTGAACCAGTTCCTAGAGCCCGCTACCTACCAGCCACAGTGGGCCATTTTGAATGGCGGATGGAGTGTGTCATCCTGCTGATTGCTATGTCATCAGGTGGCCAATTTTTGCTGGGCTTGAAGTTAACCACCAGTCTGCTGAAAAGTGTTGCTTTGAAGCTCTGCTTTCTGCTGGGATAAGCTGTGCTGCAGTGTTGCTCCTGGGAAACTCACTCTAACTGCCAATCACTTGACTGCCTCCTGTACCCAGGGCTCAGCTGGTGAATATATTTTGAGGCTCCCAATTATGCACTGATGGCCACATCCCTACCTGCCCTTTATACCTAACAGTCACATAAGACATCAGGTGTGGACAGGTGGTCATGGTTTTGGGAAATGGTCTCATGGGCCAAATGGCCTCACTCCTGAGATGTAGGGAAAGCTTAGGTTCAGGTTGCTTGCTACTTTGGTACTGAACCGCAGACCATTATTACTCTTACTAGGTGAGAAGGTAAGTATTGAATCGCAAGCCAGGTTATAGAACAGCTATCTGAGGCACTTACAGGCTTACTATTTTCAGCTGGGATTCAGTCCCATACCAGCAGGTTCTGGTTGTACAATAAAAGTTGAATTTGAAGCTCTTGAGCAACAAAGTGGACTTGTTGTGATAAGGAAAGTGATGGGGAAATATGCTGGAAGTGGGGAATAACATTTGACACAATGTCATGTAACCTCCCTGCAAAAAAAGTCAGGATGAGTGCTTAATAAACTGTTCTGGAAGCTACCCAGTGTCTGCATATATCGGAAAAGTATATTAAAGATGGGGAAATGCTTTATGTAAAATGCTAACCACAGTTCTAAGGATCCATACCATTCTGTGTTTCAGATTTGTTAATCCTAAAACCAAAGTGGGCGAAATTAACCATTTACTTGTACTGTTCCTAATAGCAAGTTTCGTGGCTACTGATTTAGATAATCAGCAAGTCTTCATTTATAATGCAGAAACTTCTGCCTAGATGGCACAGGACCTCTTTGTTTATGGAGCTGTAAAGCACCATGTACATTGATGATGTTCATAAAAAATAATGGTGCTCTTATTATGGCAACAAAGCAGTCATATGGATTAAAAAGGGGTGGGCCTGAGATCCAAATACTATGGGTCTGGGTTATATCTGTATTCTGGAGAACCGAGGCCCCTTCTTCCACAGCACTTGCAATCCTCATAAAATCAAAGGACATCCTAAAACACTTTAAAATCAAACACAAGGACCTGCAATTATAATGAGAAATTCGGAGAATGTGGTACATGCATGAAAGCTGTTGGGCATATGCATAGAACTTTGGATTCCAGCCGCTGTACATAAGTAAATGGCTGTGTCACGGGCCTACATTACAGCTATGTCTTAAGTCAGTTACAGTGGTACCTCGGGTTACATACGCTTCAGGTTACAGACTCCGCTAACCCAGAAATAGTACCTCGGGTTAAGAACTTTGCTTCAGGATGAGAACAGAAATCGTGCTCCGGCGGCACGGCAGCAGCAGGAGGCCCCATTAGCTAAAGTGGTGCTTCAGGTTAAGAACAGTTTCAGGTTAAGAACAGACCTCCGGAACGAATTAAGTACTTAACCCAAGGTACCACTGTCTTTGGAACTGCTTGTTGATTTCTATGGAGTATGATTCCATAAAGATTGGAATATTGCAACTCAGCCTTCCCACAACATTTATTGAACAGAAAATTAACTTGATTTCCCCAACTTTGCCTGAAAGCAGGAATCTAATTACAGTGTGCATAGACAGTGTATTAAAGCAAATTTAAATATGTAAGAAAAAAATTTGTCAAAGTCAAGCTGCTTCTACATGAAAATTTGAAAATACTGCACTCCGAGGTTCAAAGCCAATTCATACAGCTGTACAGATGAAAAAGTGTTCTAATCCTGCAGTTGCAAAAATAGACTTGGAAGGTGTGGGTGTGCACGTGCACACGCAATGGTTGATTCTACCAAAAAAAATAATTTGTATACAGTTCTGATTTCAGATTCCTGACCCCATCCCCATGTCTGGAGCACAAAATAAATGGAAAAGCATTGGTCTGTTAATACAGTGCAACTTCATTCAGCTTTCAAAAGTTAATGAGCTATTTCAGAGCATTTGAACCAAAGCCCTTTGGAGCTCTGATGATTTTTTGAAATTAAACCATGATGCATAAAATAACAACTTTTATAAACATGTTTGGAAGGATAAAGTTTCTATTTGATATTCAACTAGACCATACTCCAAGTAGACCCATTTAAATCGATGGACTTCTGAGTACAACTTGGATTTCACCTTCTGTTTGTTTTAACATTGTAATGAATCATTAACAAAAAGAAAACAGAGCTGATGGGGATTATTGTTTTGTTATTAAGTTTTCATTCTGCCCTTCTTCCTAAAGGAGCCCAGGGATGACTTGATCCCATTTTATCTTATGTATCTTGTTTCCAAATTTATTTATAATAAAAAAAGCTAACAAAAAGAAAAAAGCAAGACATGGACATACACTCTCTGCACCCCCACTTGTTTCACTCCTCCCACTAGTGCTGGGGGGTGGGGACAACTTTTTTTGTTTTAGCATCAGGAATTGTGGTTTATTTCACTACCACCACTTTAAAAAAAAAAAAAAGCCACAATGAGTTAAGCCAAAAGAACTTAACTACAGATCATGGCTTGTTTTGAGTGAAACAAATTATAATTCGCTCTGGTTCAAGCATAACACTTAAGTTGGGGTATCATGGTTGGTTTTTCTCCAGTGCTAACAGGAAGGAAGCAGGAATGATCAGGAATTGAAAACCTATTCATTATGATTTACCACAGGTACTCTAATGCAGCTAGTGTGTGAGGACAGAAACATGATGTCGATTTGGAAATGATCAGACATCTAGATGAAATTCATGTATGTATGATGGATAATAGGACTTCTGATGTGGAGCAATGACTCGCTTGTATGAAATGGCCATTGTTCTTTAACATCTGCTTGCCTTAAGCACAGTGCTATTCAGTGGCAGGAGTACACATGTTCAGCTTGAATTGGAGTGATGTGCATGCATGTTTCAATCAGTCATAATGCATCTTAAGCTAAGCAAGAATTCATGACATGTGAATAATTAAATTAGTTAATAAGTTGTTTTGCCCCACCAATCTGGCTTACTGCAGTTCCTTAATGTCTACCTGTAAGGGAATACCCACTGAGTTCAGTGGGACTCAACTCCCAGCTGAGTGCATAGGATTTCAGCCTTAGGTTGCTGATGTCAGTCTAATTTTAACACAGTTGTGTCTCTTTGTTATGTCTGCTGACATTCCTGCTACGTTATGTCTGTACCCATACTAAACGTGCAAGCAAAATGATATGCTACCTTCTGTCTGTATTTTTTTTTTTAAATGGAATTGAGGCGGGCTCAGCTTTAGTTGCTATAAATGTGCAATTGAATTGGAAGAAACTGAAATGATGAGCCTTTAGAATACATATTTAATGGTACAGTGGTACCTCGGGTTAAGAACTTAATTCGTTCCGGAGGTCTGTTCTTAACCTGAAACTGTTCTTAACCTCAAGCACCACTTTAGCTAATGGGGCCTTCTGCTGCCGCCGCTCCGCCGGAGCACCATTTCTGTTCTCATCCTGAAGCAAAGTTCTTAACCCGAGGTACTATTTCTGGGTTAGCGGAGTCTGTAACCTGAAGCATATGTAACCCGAGGTACCACTGTATTTGAGTATCATCCCATTTCCTGAAAACTCACATTGGTTTTTCTTCTTAGAAGCCGAGCCCTTCTAATGCAAATACTATCATCTTTTAAAAGCCTCGAGACTGTTGATGCCCTTCAGCACTGAATATGGTGGTTGTGATCACATCTATTTAAGGAGTGCTTGGGAATCTCCGCTGTCCCGAGATTCCTAGTAGCAGATGCCTGTGGCACGCACAAATCAATGACATGCTTTTATAAGGTTTTGTGTATGTGTGTTTTCCAAGTAGTTTGTTAGTTCACACAAGCAAGCCCTGCTTGGAACAGGGCTGGCAAAGGCTATGGCAAAAATACCTTGGGCTCGCAGCCGACGTCTCTGAAATACAGATGCCTTGTCTATTATTGAATATGCTCCTATAGAAACAAGTATATGTTGCTGTTATCTGCTACTACACTACATGTGCGTGTGGCCATTGTTTTAAGATCCGGCGCTGGCCTAGATGTTGTTGGATCACAACTCCCATCAGCCCTGCCAGCATGACCAATAGTCAGGGATGATGGGATTTGTAGTCCATCATAATCTGGTAGATACCAGGTTGCGGTAGGCTGTTTTAAAGACACATCTTTATAAACAGTAGCCATCTAGAAAACCTACCAAGTTTATTTTTAACATACTTGTATTCAGATTTTTAGTCAAGCTGCATTAAACATAAAAATTTGTTTATGAAAATTGAATGTTTAAAAATTATATTGAAAGATTATTGACTTGAAGAGGAAGGAAGGTGAGGATAAAGTAATGTTAGTAGGATGGTGAAAATTGGAGATTAGAAAGGATGAGCAGGTGTCCAGTATAAATTTCTGTAATTGCAATCTTCCCCATAATTGCTAAATATTAACAAGCTTGGGCTCCCTAGAAAATTCAAATTCTGCATGAAGTTATTAAATCTCACATACTGAAAATCCCAGAGGATATCCAGAACTTGCAATGAAATCCTGGGTGGTATTAGCTCTGGAGATGGGGGAAAATGAGCACTCAGCCATGAAGCTCATCTCGCTACTTCTAAGCATACAGCTTTTGGGGGCGAAATATATCCACTTACGCTATCTTCAGGCAAAGACAAGCTATAAAACATAAAGGCTTGCCTCCCTGGATGCAATTATGGGGATGTAAGTGAACATTCATAATTTTTATCTCGTTTTCTGCTATGTCATACATCAAATATTCAACTTTGTATTTTGGATCTTAGCGCGAAGAGGTGGAATGCAGCAAGCTAAGGCATTCAGGACTATAATTGTCCTGTGTTAAGCAGTATTTTAGGTAATTACACATTCCAACGTCTTTTAAGAATTTGTGGGATGCTATGCCAGTTTCTCATTGAAATGTGTAATTTAAACGTATCTTATAAGGCGGTGGGCTTGAATCAAAGAAGGAAAAACTTGGGCCCAAAGTTATCCTGTCCTTTTTTCATTTAAGATAAATCAGAGTATATTCGACTCCCATATATAGCATTATTAACTAGGAAATATACTTGATCCTAACTTTGGATTTTTAAAATCTCGATTCTGCAGTGGATATGATGCTTTGACTTTGTTAATCTTGGAACAGGAATGGGGCACAGGACACAGCCTTATATATGCCATTTTGGTTACATTTCAGTCAGCGTTAGAAACCGAGATATAAAAGCTACTTTTGCCATATGGCCCCTTAAACCCAGGTTTCAGACGCACTAACAGAATGTTTAGGCACTTAAAAACACCAACAAATTACAAAGCTGAAAATGAATTGTGTATATTGTCAGCTCTAAGTAAAATCTGACTTGCGCCATAGCAAGGCAGCAAATAAATAAATAAATGCTGTTGTGTGCCAGCCAACCAGATGGTGGAGATGTCAGGCCCCATCCTGGTCCCCAGGCATCTTCACTTGGCCAATAGCTAGGTGCAAAATGCACCTGGCATTTGAACACTGATTTCAGTGTAACTGAGACATGGGACCTAGGGCTAGGCTAGGCTGTGTAGATAGGAGAGGGCTTGATTCTCTCTTTTTTTGTATACAATTGGTATTAAGGTTTCTGTTTTACAATTTAAGATACTCATTTTGCATCCTTAAGATGTCTGTGACTTCCCTTCTTTTTCCATGGTTCATTTTGCAATATATTGCCAGGTCAAAAGTTATGATATCACAATATGGATTTCAAAGCAGTTTGGGGTGATACATCAATATATCACCCAGCCCTAGCCTAGACATACCAATGTGGTGACCTAGGGTAAGGTGCCATTTGGCGATTCGCTTATATAGCAAGAGTTTCTAACCCTGATTTTGGAACATTAATGCCCATAACTTACTGGGTGGGATACAGCATTATGCTGAGTTGATAGTTGACTTCCGCTAGGGCGGTGGTCTGCAACCCGCGGCTCCGGAGCCGCATGTGGCTCTTTTACACCTTTGCCGCGGCTCCGGGGCGGATACTAGCGAGGGGAGGAGGCGCATTGTGTGCCCCAACACTCCCCACTGTTTTAAATGTCGCAATGGTTTTGCGGCTCCCAGTTTTTTTTTCTTCAGTCCAAGTGGCTCTTTTTGTCTTAAAGGTTGTAGACCCCTGCGCTAGGGCAACAGTTTAGTTGAATCCGGCCAGTCGTATAAAATACATGTTCAATGAATTATACTCTTTAATCATAGAAGTGTGAAGTTACATGAGTTCATTGGTTTGTGTGTGGTGACTTCAGGCAAAAAACCCTTCTCTAAGCACATGATATGTTTGAATAATACTGAGAAGAATTTGTGAAGGGGTTCGCATTGTTAAGAATTAAAGTGGACAAATGCTCTTAGTGGGATGAGTTGAGGGGAAAGGATAGATAAGTGCATTGATTTATTCAAATGGCTGCATATTCTGTGCAGAATTCGCGTTAGAACTTTTTGCGAAAAACCGTGAGTAAAACATTTCAAAATGTAACAAAACTAAACTGTATTTAGTTTACTTATGGACAAACGTAAACATGTTGCTTTTTCAAGAGGATAATATTGTGGTACATGTAATGCTAATACACAGAAATGTGGTTTTTCTTATTTAAAAGTTGTAATAGTCTAATTAGGTAATGGATGTGATCAGAATGCGGTAAATACAGAATGTGTTAATAGAAATATCCTTTTAAATTATATTAAAATAATTCAATTGGGAAGTGAAAACAGGATTTGCTCTGTTTATTTCTGTTTTTGTTTATTTCTGTTTTACTACTTTATCTGCTCACTACTACCAGTTTTAAAAGGAGTTTTAAAATGTAGACATAGAGATGGAGTAACACATAACAAAGTATAATTTATCTTTGATCTAATAAAGTTTTCAAATCCATACACAAGAATGCAGATTTACAAAATGTATTGGGTTTCAAGAGACACTGCTACTTATAAAAAAGGCCATCCTCTGTAATACAACAATTTTAAAATATATTTGTATAAGTTTAAGACAGGGTAGATAGAGTTAAGATTATACGGATTACAATACTATATATGTCTACTAAGTCCCACTAAGTTCACTGGGCTTACTCCCAGGTAAGTGGGTACAGGATTGCAGCCTTAAATCAGCAGGTGGGGATAGTGGGAATAACGTTTATAACAAGTTTCCCGTAGTGTAGTCCATGCATTTCTGGAGCAAAAGTGCATACTGTTCTGTTGCTATGACAATTAAAGCAAGTTGGTTTGCAACCAAATGCAGGAATTATACTATCTAGCAACACAATCGATATCTCTGGTTGTGCATCCCAAATGCCTTTTTCACTACACCATTGCATCCACTTAGAGACTTTTTGTATCAGCCTATAATTTCATGCACTTGAAGGTCAGATACTGTTTTTTGTTTGCATGGAGAATTAGGCTTTCATTGAGTGGGTTTGTGAGCTTATTTACATGACTGCCTTGCAGTTTTCAACCAGTATGCCATGGTACCCTGGAGTGCCTTCAGTGATGGTCCGGGTGCTGCAGGCAACACTGGCCTCTGTCCCTCTTTCCTTCCCTCCTCCTCTGATGCCCTCTCACGTCTCTGCCTCCCAAAGGCTTGTTGTAGCAGCCCTGGCTACAAGCTCCCCAGGCGAATGGTGCCTCTGGGGCTGGCCAGGGGGTGCTTCCCAGGCCCCTGTGGGTCAGTGTCTCTTTGGCGCCTCTCTTGGGGGCAGAGGGGCAGCTCAGAGACCAGGGGCGGCAGCTGCGGCTGCCCAGAGGACTCCCAAGGAGAGGGGAGAAGAGGAGGTTGAGGGAATACTCCACAAGGGGAGGGTGTTTGAAAAGAGGCGAGGGGCTTCCAGCTTTGCAGGCAAGGGGTGGGATAACCAAGCTGAGTCCCGCAGGGGTGCTGCAGAAAAAAGGTAGTTGGTCAAGGGAGCCGTGGACCCCAAAAAGGTTGAAAACCTCTGCCTTACTTTCTTTTCTTTTTTTGCACTGTCAGAAAATGCCATTTCTGCACGCAAAGCGGCCTTCCTCTCCTGAACAGACAAATCTGTGTCCATCCCAGTGTGTTTGATTGAGATTCATGAGTTCAGTTTTATGAGAGAAGTGTAGAATTTAATATGTTTATACAAAACCAGGATTCACACCATTGTTAAAAAGCAACATATAATGGAACAGCTCTTTAAAACTCCCAATTTTAGCTTTTAAAAGTGCACCATTTTTCATCCACTCTAGTTTGCAACATCCATCCAGGATTTTGTATGCATTATAAATCTTCAGAGCACTCTCATATTAATACCAAAATACATCAAATCTTTTATTTTTGCTCTGGTCAAATCTTCTGAATTCATTATTACGGGCTGTTCTGTAATCTCTACCCATTATCTTTTGATTCCAGTCAAACCATCGTTTCTTTTAAATCTTAAAAGTTTGAAGCTAATTAGCAGCATTAACCAAACTAAAGTGTTGTTGTTTTTTACTGTTTAATATGTTGACCAGTTTAAAATATGCTCTTCCATTTCAGCTGGCAGTTTGTATTGGGTCCATTATTTAGTTAATTATTATTCTTTGAGTAAAATAATTTCTATACTGCCTTTCAAGAATAAAATTCCACCCAAGGCAGTTCACATAAAATAGAATAGAGAACGCCATATTATTAAAATTAGCAATCCAACATCATTCCAGGGATAGTTCAGTCAGTAGACTGTGGGTTCAAGTCCCACACTGGACAAAAGATTCCTGCATTGCAGGGGGTTTGACTAGATTACCCTCGTGGTCCCTTCCACAATTTTATGATTCTATGGAAAATACAGCCTAATGCAGTCACCAAGACCAGGGTCGTATAGTCAGGTCAGATCCCCAGGAACAGTTAGTTCCTGCAAGACAAAGTAAAAAAAAGGTTATTTTATCCCAGCTGGTTATGACATAGCATTCCCTATATGAATGAATGAATAAGACATGTTGAATGTGTAAACAGAAACATTAGTAATTGGATCTGACTCATTAATGGGACTTCCTCATCTTGAGAAGATAAATGACAAACGTCTTTGGAAATTCTCCAGCCACCTTGCCATGCAACATCTCTCCCCCCCCCCCCAACATATTTGATGCGGGGAAACCTAGTCCTCTTAAGCTTATAGAATTAGCTCCAACAGTTCTTTGGGTCCTGGCCTATATTCCCCTTGTGGAACAGCAACTGTAAGTCTTTCAGAGTTGATGACCCTCCTGTAAAAGAGAGAGAGAGAGAAGCTCACAAAGAGCTCCTGATCTTGTGTTGTTTTCAGTGCAGCTTCAGCTTTCCATGTACTACTTTAACCTGTAAACACAAAAGAGGTTGGCACGAGTTCAGGCTTTGCTGTTTTAGTGAAAGCGTATTGGAACAGAACCTTTCGTGTTATGAGGAATGCTGTTGCGTTTACGCTCGCATCTCATGCAGATGTTTACTTGCAAGCAAATACCGCTGAGGTCAGTGAGACTTGCTTCCCAAGTTCCCTTTTCTCCTATCTCTGCTTTTACAGTAAGGAACCGACCAAGAAACTTCTAAGCGCTGCTTCTGTTTAGCAAGGATATAATCTGATTTGAGGTCAAGAAGGGAGGTTCTGGAATGTCATTGCCATTAAATTGGCCCCTTGTACCCGAGCTGGTTTTGTGATGGTGTTTTCATGGGCCTGACTCTGCTTCTTATAAGAGTCTTAATGTGCTTAAATGTGTGTTGAGAGACTTTTAGGAAGTGCATTTGCTTCAGTAACCAGGTCTAGACATTGATAGAGTCAGAAAAGGCATTGTTTTTAAAAGAAGAACAAATGCACCCCCATCTTTCTTGGGAAGACACCATTATCCAGTCTCTTCTCTGCCCTAATATGATTGATGATAACAGCTCATTTAGTAATACAGTGGCACCTTGGTTGTCAAACTCAATCCGTTCCAGGAGTCTGTTCGACTCCCAGAACCGTTCGGAAATGAAGGTACTACTGTATATTGGTTTGTTCTTTTTTCAGTTTGGAAACCACTTTAAACAATCAAGTACTGGGCTGTTAACTAAATAGTTTCTTGGTCTGTTTCTTACAGGGAAATTAGAATGGAGGACTCCTTTAATACAGCAAAATCAGATGTAGATGAACTGGGAAAAGGAATACAGTACTGTGGACTTTGAGATGGGGAGTATGTAAAAATAACAGTGCAGGGCATATTAGAAATGTTGGTGGTTGTGATTTATACCCACAGTTGGAAGACAGCATGCAATCTGTTCTTCTGAAGCAGGGGCTACCTATAAAGAGAAGCTGCTCTGGTGGCTTGGATTCCTTAAATGTGCAGATCATGCCAGCAGTAGGGACTGGACCCCTTGAAATGAGAGTGGTGCTATAAGACTGATTTAATTTGAGTGAAACAGGTTTGCAGAGTCACTGTAATCACACTTCATGTTCTTTCTGCATGGAGGATATAATGTAGTTGTCACTCAATCCTCTGCACCCCCATAATATACGTTCTCTGCATAAGACTAAAGGTCTGTCTAGGCTCTAGCTCAGGGGTCAGCAAACTTTTTCAGCAGGGGGCCGGTCCACTGTCCCTCAGACCTGGTGGGGGGCCGGACTATATGGGGGGACGACGAATTCCTATGCCCCACAAATAACCCAGAGATGCATTTTAAATAAAAGAACACATTCTACTCATGTAAAAACACACTGATTCCCAGACCATCCGCAGGCTGTATTTAGAAGGCGCTTGGGCTAGATCCAGCCCCTGGGCCTTAGTTTGCCTACCCATGATCTAGCCTGTCACCCTGTTGGCAATAATGGCCAGCAAGATACCTTTGGGCAGTGTTAGAAACTGGGATAGGAGTGCTAGGAGCTGTATGGCTCCTGGGACCTAGGTTGTGGGTGCCAAAACAAAATATCTAGGCGCCTTGTTTTTTATTTTTTTGCTGCCCTGTTACCAGGCCAGGCAGCCCCATGGCAAAATAAATAAAATAAAACAAAATTGCTGCCAGGCAAATCAGGTGGTCTACAGGGTAGCACAGCAGCAAAAGAAGCCCTTGGGATGCTTACAAGCATTGCCTGGTGGGGATGATTCTTTTGATGTCTCCAGCAGCTGAGGTACAGAGCCTGTGAACATGGAGGTTCCACTTCTAGCTGTTAATGCATGCTTAATTCATAGCTCTGTCTTCCATAACAGAACTATTGCACTCATGTCCTGCTTATGAACTTGCCATAGGCATCTGGTTAGCCACCGTGAGAATGGAATACTGGACTAAATGATTCAGCAGGGCTGTTCTTAATCTTCTTAACTTCTGTCCTTATTTAAAAGCTATTTAAACTACTGTCCACCACATCTATTTTCTGCCAGTGAATTCAGCAAGTTACTCATTGAGTGGAGAAGTACTTCCTTCTGTCTGTCCCAACCCTACAACCAATAAATTTCACTACCTGACCTTGAGGATTTGGCCTCATTTGGATGTAACTTATCTCTGCTTATTAATCAGGACTTTCTTGTTGCACTGTAATGAAATACTTTTTTGATTAATTAACCATGGTTTCCTGTTACAACAGGTTCGAAACAAATCAGGATTTCAAACCAAGTTCATAGTGCACTTCCAGATCCTAGTTTGTTCCTATCTTAGTAACCACGGTTTGCCAGTTCAGAGGCAGTATCGCCCAAATGTTTGTTAAAAAGAAAACTGATGAACTTGAATGTTACTTCAACCAAACCCACATATGCATGCACATCAAGAGCATTACATTGTATATATTTTTAGCATGATAACATCCCCAAAAAACCATTGTTCTGCACAGGGGTGCAACTACCAGAGACCCTTCTCCCTTCAGGATAGATCAGCGGAAGGAATTGCAGACTCATGTTGTGTCTGGCTTGCATTCATGAGAGTCAGTTTAAGAATCATTATTCCATAAAAGCCATATGTTGTGTTAGAACTGGTTGTTCAGAATGTTTACAATATTACTCACTCCTGGCAAGTTTCCGTTAACTCTCCATGAAAACCTGCAGCGTCTCCATAATTCATCTTTATTTTATTTTATTTTAAATAGTTTTTATTAACCGGCCAATCAAATCACATCACATCACATCAATTCCGAATTACAAAGCCGAATTTTAAATTTTGTTGAGGGGACCCATATTTCAAGATCCGAAGGGGGATTCTGATCATCTTCTTGCTACTGCTTTAATGTCCAAATCAGTCCAAACAAAGTTCATAATTCTATCCAGTCTTATCTTGCTGTTTCCACATCACATCTTGTTCATATATTTTCTCTTTTTTCTTTATGATCTCTTCTGATAGTCTCCTTAAGCCGATAAACACCAATAATAATCCTGTGTGATTTTCCCCGTTCTTCCAATCCTCAAATCGACATGGTTTCCATATATCATCGCCTTCATAGATAACATCGCTCTTTCCATCTTTAATTACAGAACTGTCGTTCTTAAGTCCCTCTGAGGAGTTTCACCCACAATATAAAAACAGCTCTATTTCTCCTCCCAGACTTAAGTCCTCCGAGAGAACTTCCCAATATGGCGACGGCACTTTTAACTGCGTCATTCCAAAGCCCTTATACATTCCACACTCTTCTCAAAACATGCTTTGGTTCGAAAGTTTATCTCCACACAGCCTTAAATCCACAGCTTAAGTCCTTAAAACGACATTTCTGACTTGTGTGGGGGGGATTCTTGTTTAATCACATAAAGGAAAGGAAAGTTTTTTCCCCCCTCCCCCATCAGTCCCTTTGCCATACCGAGTCTTGGCGTATCTTCTCATGATTTATACTTGTTCCTCCGACTCACCTTGTTTTATCAGAGATCTCTTCTGTTAGCAGTCTTTACTCCCCCTCCTTCCTTGAAATATGCATTCGCTTCATCCAAATTGTTTATTTTTAAGTTCTTGCAGCTAGTGGCGCGGATCAGAGACGGCGTCCAGGAGCGCCGAAATCCCACAGGAGGGCATTGTGCCTAGTGCCCCCATCCCCGCAAATTCAGGCAAGGGCAGTTGTCGTCCCCCCACAATCCGGGGGGGGGGGTAGGGAGGCTATTTACTCCCATCACAGCCTCCAAATTACCTCGTGTGGGTCGGAGAGATGTTATTGTCAGCCATCTTCTGATTCGCCCCTAGTGGCCCCCCTCCATAATTCATCTTTATTACCTGACAAAACCTTACTTAGCAGACACAGTTTATATAACTTGCAACCTGAAGTCAGCAAAGCATCCCTGGTCTGATGCACAGAAAAGACCTGTTTCTAAAATACACAGGGCAATAACTGAGAGGAAGCAGCTGTCAAATGATAGCCAATGTGCAAACAGTTCGTTGCACTTCCACCCTGATAGGCTGCTGCTTTTATGCTGCGCCAAACCATCCTTTAGTTTGCCAGAAACGTTGATTTGGTTGCATAACAATTTCACTGAGGGCAAATGAGGTTTATGGACTGTGGTCTAACTCTGAATAGTTTTGGTCGACTTCTGATGTTAGCACGAAACCAAATTTGATTGGCTGCACAATGTCTTCCAATTTTCTAGGGATGAAACTATACATGCTGCATTGAGTTCTGTGGTTCTTTTTAGGGATGGCTTTGCTTTTATAGAACTGAGTTCTTGGAGGCTGCAAATTGAAGAGAGGGGAGGGGAGCATCTTACTTTATTCCTCCCCCCCCCCCGCCGCCATTTTCCCACTAAGAATAGTCACCACCCATGTCCTTTTATCTGCAGGGGAAAAGATGAGGATGCCTGGAAATTTTCTGCTGTGAGATAAAAGTAGCTGGGTGTAGGGGGAGGTTGCCAGATCATAGCTATCAAGTGTCCCTTATTTGAAGGGACAGTCCCTTATTCCAGTGCCATGTCCCGCTGCTGTCCCTTATTGATGGATGTCCCTTAAATGATGTCCCTTAAATTTCAAAGGAAGCAGCTCCTCTCCCTCCCTCCCTGCCGGCCAGGGAGGAGGGAGGCTCCAACTGTGTTGCTTGGCTGTTTTGCTCACCCAATAAGAAGTCTAAGAACGACTGGGGGGTGGCGCTTGCATGCCTTGTGTGTGGCTAGTTAATGCAAGCTGAGGGGTTTTTTGAATGCTGGATGCCATTTTGTTGCACGTGCTGCTGCAAACTTTGCAGTGCAAAGCCAGGCCGGGGAGCCATCTTAAGTTGAGGCTGCATAGGCCTTGTGGTGCATGTGATTCAGGTTCTATTCAGTTGAACCTCTGGTTACAAAGTTGGTTGGACAGTGTTCTCGAAGCTACCAGCATGAGTTTGACCAGACTGCAGGAGGACAGGAAGACTGGAGTGCCTGGAACAGGTGAGGCTGCAGGTCCCTTATTTTCAAGGCTGCTGGTCCCTTATTTTCAAATCTGTAAGTTGACAGCTATGTGCCAGATGTTTGCCAAATGTAGTCCCTTGCAGGTCCGGTGTGCCCTATTTTAAATGTTTATTACATGGTGTTTTATTTCTTCTGCTATGGATAAGTTTATGGTTGCAGGTGAAAGCAACTTTTAAGGCTTTGGTGTTGAATGTGATCAAGCCATACCTCTTCCTGTGAGCATTGATTCTGGATGCTAGAAAACGCAGAAGGCAGTCGTAGCGTTCTTAGGCCAAGTCACGATCACCGCTAACCAGTGTTAGAAACTGAGATATAAAAGCTATTTGGCTATGGCCCCTTAAACCTAGGTTATGGACACAGCAACAGAATGTTTATGCGCTCCCCCCTTTTTTTACAAGATTAAAAAAGCTGAAAATGATTTGTGTATATTGCCAGCACAAAAAATTCAAAAAGCACAATGTGGTGGTTTCTCACTTCTTTTTGCTGCTATTTTGATTCCCTTGGGTTATTTCAGGTGTCTTTCATAGCCTTTTGAAAAATGGAAGCAGTGAACCATTCCAAAATGAAGGTATCAAAAATAAAAAGAGCACCCCAAATCAATGTATTTTGAGTACATTATTCTGGAGTAACTACCATTTCCCGATTCTTTAGTGGCAACTGAAAACAGTTGCACAAGAGAGCAATACCATTTTCTATGACATTTTAAGTAAGTCACTTTCTTGAATAAGTTTAGTTTTGGTGTACTGTAGATTCCTTCTGTCTCCTACCCCCACTGGTACTGCCATCACACCCTGAGTACAAAATAACTCCAGCTAAAATGTTACGTTCATTTTTCATATGGTCTGGTCCTCCTCTGAAGATTGTAAAAAAAAAGCAAAAGCAAAACCAGGCTCCCCCTGTCTGCCCCCCTAATATTCTTATGTGGGTCCCGTCTTCAGAGAGTGGCTGCCCTTTGGCCTTGCTGTTTCCAAGTGCCTTAAAAGTTCCAGATGGCATGGCTTAAAACAAAAACCTAAGGGGTACAGCAAACAAAAATGTAATGTGTGAATATTCCCTCATTGCAAGCTTAAAAAAAGAAAGAAAGAAAACTGTGAGGAGAGTATAAGAAGCAGGTTTGCACTATGTAGGAATAGGAGAGGAGTGTGTGTTTGAGCAGGGAAATCCAGATGTTACTTCTGTAAGACAGGTGTGGGGACATTTGGCCCTCCAGATGTTGCCAAACGACAGCTTGAACTGAACTACAACCTTTGCTGGGGTTGAAGGAAATTGTAAGTCAGTAACATCTGGAGAGACCAACGCTCTCCGAACCTGCCTTAAGATAGGCACTTCTGAATTCGTGCAGTTGGTTTTTTGCCCACTCACTTAACTAGGAACAAATCAAGCAGAATCAGGAAGTTTGCTTGCATCTTGCTCCTGTATACTTAGAACGCAGCATCACCTTTCCCCCCCCAGCAACAGAGAACTGGAGAACGGTGTATTGCTTTTTAGACAATGGGATTGTTGAAATGTCTGGTACTGGTTCTCAGAAATGGTGCTGAACGAGAGGTGAATTTGGTGCATCAAGTGGTAACCGGGACTTGCGTAACAAGCATGATGTCCCCCGAAGAAAAGGTACAATGTGAAATTAGGGATGCATGACTACATTTCCAAGCATGGTCTTAAGTTCGGCCTTATGTGATAGTCACATGAAAGCGATCATGAGCTAGCAGAAAGGATTAGGATCATACTTGAGTCAAGGGTAAGATCTCAACAAGGGGAATTCTTGCTAATACTTAAAGCAATTCAGATGAGGCAGGCACTTCATGTTTTCAGGCTTTGCTGAGGACTTATTGATGTGTGTGACGGGGGTAGCAGCTCTGGGTGAAGCAGACAAGTCTCTGGCACTATAACTGAATGGCTTTACTGGATCTTCTCTTCAGAGTGCTTGTACAGTTAGTGGAAATCTACCTGCCAGGCTCCTTAAGTTCCACTTGCTTAGATTTACTGCTTTGTATTTCAACAGAAGTCTTGCATATCTTGGCCATGCTATAGTAGGACCAGGATCCTTAGTTCCTTCCCGTCTCGCATGGGCCACTTAGACAGGTGGGCTGTGCTGCCTACCTGTCAAAACAGTGAGTGCAGTATTTCTCGAACCTGGGTCCCCAGTAGGACTGGGTGATAACTGTTTTTCAACATCATGATATATATCACCAGCTAAACATCTTGATAAGGGATGCGGGTGGTGCTGTGGTCTAAACCACAGCCTAGGGCTTGCTGCTGATCAGAAGGTCAGCAGTTCGAATCCCCGCAACGGGGTGAGCTCCCGTTGCTCTGTCCTAGCTCCTGCCAACCTAGCAGTTGGAAAACACAAGTAGATAAATAGGTACCGCTGTGGCGGGAAGGTAAACGGTGTTTCCGTACGCTGCTCTGGTTCACCAGAAGTGGCTTAGTCATGCTGGCCACATGACCCGGAAGCTTGTCTGCGGACAAACACCGGCTCCCTCGGCCTATAGAGCAAGATGAGCGTGCAACCCCAGAGTCATCTGCAACTGGACCTAACGGTTAGGGGTACCTTTACCTTTAAACATCTTGATGTCTGAAATAAGGATGGAGCTTTGTAGAGGCATGAGCTGGCTTCATGATTTTTCCCAGATTGTGATTTTTGCACACATCATGATTCACAACATATTGCCAGGTCAAAAATCATGAAAGCAATATCATGGATATGGGCTTCAAACCAGTTTTGGACGATATATCGCCCAGCCCTAGTCCCCAGCTGTCGTTGGACTACAACCCCCAGCATCCCTAGCTAGCAGGACCAGTGGTCAGGGATGATAGGAGTTGTAGTCTGGCAATAGAGCTGGAGGCCCAAGACTGAGAAGCACTGTCCTAATGTCACCATGATGTCAGTTGACCTAACTTTAAAGCAGGGTGGATTTCATGTAAATCAAATGCATTTACTTTCTGCTGCAAGTGGTTCCGGCTGCAAACCCCGTTTTCAGCAGGAGTTGGCTGCTCTCAGGAGCTCCTGAACCAGGACTTGGCATTTGGTGGCACATTTAAAAAGGTGCTGAACGCAAGCCCCATTTACCAGAGAACAGTCAGGTGCACACTTTAAGGCTCTTGATTGGCCTTTGGCCTCCCCATACCTGCCATCATACAGTACATGATTTCAGGTGCTGGGCGCATGAGTGAGGCTTGGGGGGGGAAAGGCCTCGCAGGTCAAATTGGGACTCCTTCTGGGCTCGGGGGAGTGGAGGACTCACATGCCATGGTGAATACACCTTTTGTGTTCTCTGTTTTCACCCATTGACTCAATATCCTCTCCCTTTTTGTTGCATGCCTTGCAGTGGATGGGGAACCCAGCTGAGACGTATAGGCAGGGAAGGCAGCAGTGGCAAGAAAAGGAATACATGTTCCTCCTTCCCCTGCAGTGATCTTCCTCTACTCCTTTGTCTCTGGGTGAAATGTGCTTCAGAAGGAGGATTTCCACCCAGCCCTGCTATTTGATCCTGTACACTCAAGGCAGGTCCAAGTGATGCTGCTAGTATGATATTTGTCTTATGCCATATTCAGCAATAGCCCATTCACATCATTCATGGAAGCTGGGTGGGGAGGTTAAATAGTTACCCAGACCAATCCTTACAAGGCAAGAGCCATTAAAATGTCCCAGCAGAGCCTGGCAAGCAAGTCTTAGGGCTTACAGGGACCTTCTGTGACGGGAAAACCTGGCGCACAAAGAGGTTTTGAGGTTCTCTCCCGCCCTGCGTGCATTTAATTTGTGCAATTGCTACAGGCCGGCTGCAAGGCGCATACAGTTATGATGGCGCAAGTTAAACACGTGCAAGTTGCGAGTCGTAATAAATGCACCAGTTGCTTTATTTTCTATAAAAGCAAACAAAATCCACCAATACAATTTATAGTGTCGTGTATGAGCATGTTGTAGACTGGAGCTTAGAGCAGCCAGTTTGTCTGCGGAAGCTGGAGGTTGAAACCTCCACTTCACTGTATCACTTGCTGCTTTTCAGCTAATTCAACCTCGCAAGATTGTTGTGAAGATACCACATTGTTTGGAGCTTCTTAGACGAACAGTTGCATTTATAAATCAGTAGATGGGTGTCATTATAGCTGGCACCCTCCTCTGTTCCTCATGAGCTCCTTGGAATTTCCTTGTGGCTAAATTCCTAGGGTCGTCCAAAAGTTAATATATATTTTTGCATCCCTTCTTCAATATGGATTTTTTTTTTTTGTCTTCTTATGTCTAAGATAACAAAAGAGACGTAACTGGGGGGAAACCAAACAATTCGCTGTTTGTTCCTGGGGTCTGCCAGAATGGCATTATTTAACACTTTGTACAAAACTTGAACCTTTGAACCTTTTCGTAAATGATGCTGTCTTCACTTGAACAAATTCCAGCTTTTACATATTGGCAGCATGGAAACCTCACTGAGGTTAGTGGAACGTCATTCTGAGCATATAAAAATGGGAGCAGGTAAGTTGTCGATGTGCCTTTTGCTGTCTTGAGTTTTGAAGAAGAAGTCCTCTGAAAACATTCTGTTCAAAGTGCTGATTGGGAGGGCCTGTTTTCTGTAGTAAGTATGTACACCTATGCAGTTTATGCGTGTTTGAGTGTGAGTGTAAGACAGACTGAGGGAGAGGGAGAGGGAGAAAGTATAATTTGCAAGGATCTTAGTTTTGGAGTATTGAAATAATAATGCCACTTCAGGGCTCAGAATTGTGCAGTGTTCTCATGAACGGGCATTTAGCAGAAAAGCTATGACTCACTCTCACTTTTGCTTTCTACTGTAGTCGAAACTGCTTTGATCCTTAGACCTTTTAATTAAATAAAAGGAGAGCTGTGATTTTCTCCTCCTGTAATGAGGGTTTTTATTTGAACCTCCGGTGTGTGTGACATCAAAGAAATGGATGGCTAGCCAATGTACTATAAAGAGACTTCAAATGTTGATTGCTTTACTATAGTTAAAGAGCTTTGATGGCTTAGAGTTTGAACGTACATTTCCAGTTCACTTTTTAGGAATGGCTGTAATAGTCTGTTTTGCCAAAGAAACAATTAAGAGTCCAGTGGCACCTTAAAATACTGAAAAATACACTCTTTTGTGATACCAGTTTTTATGGGTTAGATTCCAGATACCTTTGACAACATAGATGCTAGCCTAGAAAAGCTTATACCTTAACAGCCTTACACCTTGTAAAAATCTTCTAAGAAACTCCAAACGTAAAGATAATTGCAAGGCTTTCTTGAGAAGTTTTGCCTACTGCAAATGAATAGGTGGTGGTTTAGAAAGGTAATTGCTGTTTGGTTTGGTTTTGAAGGCTTGCAGAAACCATGCAGCTCTGAAGTCATTTATTGTCAGAAATACTTCGGGGTCAGATTTAACAGCCAAGTGTTTTCTTTCCTTTTCTTTCAGGAAACAGAAATGAAGGTACACATGCACACACAATTTTGCCTCATTTGCTTGCTAACATTTGTCTTTCATCAATGCCACCATTGCCACGAAGATGGACACGACGAAAGTGCCGAGGTCACAACCGCAGCGTCACAGCCGCATAGCCACAACCACAATGACTATCAGATCTCAGAGAAGGCTGAAGAGAAACAGAAATACTACATTGAAAAACTCTTTGACCGCTACGGGGAAAACGGAACGCTCTCGTTTTTCGGCCTGGAGAAATTGCTGACGAGCCTGGGCCTGGGAGAAGTGAAAGTAGTGGAAATAAATCATGAGGACATTGGCCACAATCATGTTTCTCACTTAGATGCAATAGAAGTACAAGAAGGGAGACATTCCCATTCCCACCACCACCACCACCCTCCTCATTCCCATACTCACTCAGAGAACCAGACCACGAACGAAAGGCCTGCCAAAAGAAAGCGGAAATGCGACCCCGAGAAAGAAGCAGCAGAGCCATCTTTAAAATCGGACAGCAAACACACTCACGACCACAATGACCACAGGCACCACGAGCGCCGGCTCCATCACCTCGGCCGCAACGGGACTCGCCACTCCCATAACGATTCCACCAGCGCCAAGGACCACAGGGGGCCCAGCCACGAACCTTCGACCGAGACCAACATGACTCAAGAGCAGCCCGAAAAGTCGCACAAAGACAACAGGAGGACACGGAAGGAAAGGAAGAAGAGAAGTGGGGCTTCGGTGGAGGCGGCACAGGGCTTTACTCCCAGCCACGAGTCCGCCAAGCAGCACGGACACAACCGGGTTCACAAAAACGGCCACGCGCAAGACACGGCCCTCTCGCACGCTCACGAGCGGGATCGTGAGCGTTCGCCTGCCCGCGAGCATCCAGACCCGAATCCTGCCAGTGGAGACGGGCATCGCCGTGGCAGGAAGCACGAGGGGCAGATTGGCATGAGGAAGCGTGCCGTCCTCTCAACACACCCTCACAAGGACCATAATGGAGATGAGCACCACCACGAAGAGGTCAGTGTTAAGCCTGAGAAGGCCTGGGATGCAAAGGAGCACACAGGCAAAAGAACTAGTATAGTAGCACCTCAGCTTACATAACCCTCTGGTTATGTAAACGTCACGTTACAAAAGCGGCAAACCCGGAAGTATCAGACCGGGTTTCGGCACGTGCGCAGAAGCGGTCTACTGCCCCGCGCGCATGTGCAGATCAGTGATCCTCGGGTTGCGGAAACCTCAGGATCCAGCCGGACCTCCAGAACAGATCCCATTCGCAACCGGAGGTACCACTGTATGTCGATGGCTGAATGTTAGAAGCTCAGATATACATAAACCAGGTGCCAAATAGCTTCTTAAACCAAGGTTACAGTTCCTGAAACGGAATGTCTGGTTGCCGTTTTGGGGTGAGATGGCTCTAAAGCCGTGGTTCCCAATGTGGGACACATGGCCCACAAGGGGGGCAGTTTGGAAGCTTGTTTAGACCAAGTTAATGGTCTTTTAGGTTTCCTCCACATGGAATAGGAGTTCACTTTTTGAATCATCATCATCATCATCATAATATGCCACTGGGGGGGGGGGGGACACCAGAATTTTAGAGATGCTTAGGTGGGGCATGGCTGAAAAAAGGTTGGGAACCACTGCTCTAAAGCCTTGTTTTTCAAATGATGGACTGACCGATTGATTGTCAGTTAAAACATCTGGCTAGTTCAGATGACAACCTTGAGCTAGATTAAGAGCTTTGAGAAGAAAAGTCATTTGATCCAGGGACAATCCACACATATATTGGCCTATTCCTGCCTTTTTTTCCTTTAATGGTGACACGGACCGTTCACAACGTAGGGATGTTCTTCACAACCGTGAGCAGGGCAGTGGGGTGGGGTAAGTGAAGATAAGCTGCAGCAATTAACCATAACATTGCTCACTGCTCCTACTTGGGCTGCACAGAGAAAGCATTTTAGTTCCCGAAATTCATTCCGATGGTGCAGATATGATATAACCGATAGAATTCTACAGGATGTGTTGTTAGTGTGTGAAAACAGTCCAGCTACAGTGATCCGCAGGTTTGAAAACCAGGTTTGTAAAGACATTATTATTGCCATTATCATTTGTTTATATTCTCTGTCTTTCCCCCAAACTGGGATGCAAAGTGGCTTACACTAATTAAAACAACGCAGATAAAATACAGAAGGCTAAAAACCCATGGTTTCAAATTCTCAGCTTGTGGAAACTTTACTTCCACCATCGGACCAGATTTTTCCTGTGTCTTTTTCCAGCTGTAATAATTAGTATTTTATCTTCGGTAGACCCAAACTATATTTCTGCTCCTCTGGAAGGATTTCAAGAAACGCTGTCCACATAATTTCTGGTTTAATCTTTAAAATTCTCAACAGATTAACTGAGAAACACCAGACACAAATAAATAAAATAATGGGTACTCATTTAATTAATTGACACATTTACCCCACTCTCCAGCTCCCATATCTATGATAGTAATACAGTTTATGCCCTCAGTCTCAACAGTTTAAGGTTGTGTGCACCCCATGCATTTAAAGTACGTGGCTTCTCCCGAACAGTTCTGGGAACTGTAGTTTTACCCCCTCTACAGAGCTGCAGTTCCCAGAATCCTTAGCAAACTACAGTTAACCCTGATTCTTCAGGAGAGCTAGTGTTGCTTAAATGTGCTTTGTGTGTGTGGTGTGTGGTCAGCCTTTAAACACATAATTCTAAAGGAAAAGGGATTGGGAAGAAAGAGCAGAAAGCAAACTTGGGATTTAGCTCTTAGGTACAGATCCAGCTAGAATGGAAAGAGTTTAAAAAGAGGAGGAACAAAAAGTTGCTTATTTGTCAGCTGAGCTGATGGAGAGGTCCCTCAGCTCTCGCTTTTCTCTCTCTCTGCTTTGCTCCTCTACTGTTAATGTTCTTCAATAAACTGTATGCCTTTCTTAATACGGCTTTTTCCCTTCTCGCTCCTACTATTGTGCCAAATTCTCCATTTTCTTTCGCACCTTTTTGCAGCGTGTTCTCCTTTTAACTTTTTAACTCTTTTGTGTTTTGTACAACCCCCTTGCTTCCAAACGGGAACTATCCTGACCATTGTTAATAATTGCCTTCTTCCTGACTTTCCTTTTTTGCAGTGTTTAAACTTCACTCAGCTGCTAGCGCATTACGGCCTTCATCCCACCTCTCCCATTTCCCCCAGCTTGTTTACATACCTGTGCCCAGCATTGCTGTATCAGATTGACAGGAGACTTTGTATTAAACATTATGAAGATCTGGTGATTGAAGACTTGAATAAAGGAAGGAATGCATCGCTTGGGAACATGGAGAAAACTGGCGCATCGGGTGAGGAGATTCGTGATAAGATTCGTGTCAAAGAAACGGGGGGAACTTGCATTTTTGCTTCATTATTTCAGCCTTGTTAATGATGTTTCGCATTGTTAAGTAAAGATCTGATGCAGACCCTTTAGTTAGTAATACACATTGTGACAGCTTTGTTTCGCCGTTCTTCTAAGGTCAAGTCAGGCCACTTAAAATAATAGAAGCCACCTCTTTTCACTCCTGTCTCTGAACAGGCATATGAGTTCCATAGAATTACTGTTTCTTCCACTTCAGGGCTTCTACTGAAGCCTCCCTTTCTGACATCCATTGAACTTCACTGCTTTGAGTAGAGGAAAGACACACCTTTCCTGAGAGAAGGGTAGCATCCTAGCCTATTGGGCCGCACAGTCTTCAGGTTTGCAGTACTTTGTGATAATAGATGCAGGCCGGAATCCCATGCGCCCCAGGACTTCACAGTTTTTGTTGACATTTGTTCACGCAGAGCATTCTCTGCTGCAGGCGACCAGCGCATGCGCCTTCAGCCATCTATTAGCCAGTACAGTGGTACTTCAGATTGCATATGCTTCAGGTTACATACGCTTCAGGTTAAAGACTCCGCTAACCCAGAAATAGTGCTTCAGGTTAAGAACTTTGCTTCGGGATGAGAACAGAAATCGTGCTCCAGCGGCGCGGCAGCAGCAGGAGGCCCCATTACCTAAAGGGGTGCTTCATGTTAAGAACAGTTTCAGGTTAAGTACGGACCTCCGGAACGAATTAAGTACTTAACCTGAGGTACCACTGTATTGGTTTTTTAAATCCTTTGTCCGAGGGCCATTGCACATGAAACTCTTCTATTTTAAAAGGGTCCCCTGATGCATCTGCTTCCAGACAGCCGACTGTTTGTTCCGCAGTGGCTTTGCCACGCAGATTGGAAGATTTCTTCCACGCCAACGCAAGCCAGTTTTGTTTTGTGCAGACAAAATCCTCTGATCTATTAGCCCGCCAGGCTTGAATTGCTTTCCACAGAGAGGCAGTCACCACCTTTAAAATACAGATCCACAATGCAGGTTTAAGGGGCAGGGGCTGTACACGCAGCTCAGGCCCCTGTTGTCTTCATGGTCATCGGCTCTGACCGCTTGTCAAGCAGGGAAGGCTGCAGGGTGTGTTTTGTTTGTTTATGTTACCTTCAATGCAAATAGAACCCTTCCACATGATGGGGGAACCCTGCTTTTTTAGGGTCACTTACTGTCTGAAGGTTTCTGCTGGCGTTGAAGTGAACACAAGTAAAAGCACCCTGCAGATCTAACTTGCTCAGCATGGGAAAGTCAGTTGGGCCCTAACACCCCCAGGTGGTGTTACATTGCATGGATACTCCTGCCCCTATGCCAAATTTAAACAGATGCCTGAACACGACTAACATTTTAAGAATAGAGCACCTAAAGCTGCCCAGAATTGGCAGATTTTGTTTTCCTACATGCATTTCGTATAGGTTCATAAGCTCAGGGTAGTACCCTATAATTGAGATCTTCTTAGTGCTTTCTAAAAAATTTTTTTACCAAACCTAAGTCCATTGGACTAGAATACAAGCTTTTGCAGGCTTCTTTCAAGCAGTAACTTGGTGTTCTGAAATCAGCAAGTCTGCTGAATTAGAATAGGGTGGTGCCAGTTTGTGGAGAGAGAGGCCCAAATAGCTTGAAGGCAAAGACAGCACACCAGCTTGCATACTTAACATCTCCTCTCCGTTCGCCCTAGCTTCTGAGCAAGAGGAAGTCTCAAGAGCGGCAGGTTAGTATCAGCTAATGTCCGAGTGAAGTAACTTGAACCTGTTTCCCTCTGCCCCCTGCCTCCCACCCCCTTACTCTTCTTGAGCAAAGTGTGTAGCACATGTCTGGGGAAGATTTAGCCCTCTTAAAAAAAATTGGACTCCCACGTCCCAGCAGACCCAACAGTAGTTGTAGTCCTGCAAGATTTGGAAGGCATCAAGTTTCCCAGCTCTGGTGTAGCATGAAAACACAGTATGGCCTGCAGGAGAAAGAAAACTCAAGGGAGTTGTCAAAGAGTCAGATCTCAAGTCCCAAATCGGGACGATTCATTAAGAGTAGCGATGGAGATATGAGAGAGAAAACAAATACGGAGCATAAACAAACACAGCGGTTTGCTCGCTTATCCTAGCCCCACTTACCTGGATTAAACCACATTGAATTCAGGTAGAGATGGCTAGGATTGCTCTGTGGGTAATCTGCTCTCCCTAAATAGAATTGTAGAGTTGGAAGGGACTGCCAGGATCATCTAGTCCAAAGTTTCCCAAACTTGGGTCTCCACCTGTTGTTGGACTACAACTCCCATCATCCCTAGCTAGCAGGACCCAGTGGTCAGGAATGATGGGAACTGTAGTCCCAAGACAGCTGGAGACCCAAGTTTGGGAAACCCTGATCTAGTCCAACCCCCTGAAATGCACCCAACGCGGGGCTCGAACCCATGACCCTGAGATGAAGGGTCTCACGCTCTACCAACTGAGCTATCCCACAGTAATCTTAAACCTTGCAAAAGCAAGGATAATGATGGGCAATAGCTGTCATTTTCGCAATGGAATCGTCCCGTGCTTTTTAACACTATGGAATCGGGGGCGGTTGACGTGGATGGTGGATCCCTCCAGTCAAGTATGGCCGTGTCGACCAGGTACACCTCTAGGCAGAATTTTGGGGCTTTGCATGCCCATCCGTGTACACAGGGACAAGACTGGCATTTTCCGGTGACTCAGAAAGGTGGAAGTAAAAAGTGTGAACAGGGAAAGATTTCCTGATAGAATCCCATCTCCGTGCATGAAGAATGTTTGAAGGCTGGCAGGTAGACCACTGTGGCACAGACTTTGAATTTTTTAAAGATACAAGCATTTTATTTTCAGGCCTCTGTGCACCATTATACATAGCAGAACTGCCAACTACATTCTGTTTCTGGAGCCTTGTGCAATCACTGTAATCTTAGAATCACTTGAAAGGAATTGTCCTTATTTTGAGAAGAATGCTCTTGCTAATGGTGACTATTGATTAGGCATTTTGCACTTATTCGCTTACAAATAAAGCACAAGTTAAGTATGTTCTGATGTATGTTAATAATTGTCAGAAACAATGCGCTGTCGGTAATTAATTTTAATGGCTGTGGCATCATTAAGAAAGGTTAACTTGTTGTGTATAACTCTCCTTTAGTGGCACAGCTACTATCTCATTAACTTTGTTCAAAGATTCGGCAAATACTGTATACGCTGAATATGGTAGCAAATCATTTGTTCCTCAGGGTAGACGTGTTTTAGCCAGAGTTGACCCTCATTTAATTGCCAGGAGAGTTTCTGAAAAGACTGCTAAGCATTTTCTGCCAATTAAAATGTTGAAACTGTGTGTAAACCAATCTCACCACCACCACCCCGAACACACCAAAAGAAACCCGTCATCGTGCATCGTGCCTTAGAACCCAGTTAATTAACCCAGTTAATTAGAAAGTTTCCACAGATGAGTGCTTCATTTTAAAAGAGGGATTTTCTGCCTAGATAATGAGGGAGGGAACCGATGAATAAGTAATCTTGAAGACCGTCCATGCTTTAAGCGACCTAATTTTGCAAAATTAGTGGTAGACATTTTGGTGCATTTCAGAATAGCTGGTGTTTTGCTTTGTTTAGAGCCCAAATAAAAATTACTCCAGTATGTTGCAGTCCCGAGGAGATGTCTGGAAGCGATCTATTTTGCTTGTGAGTTTCAAGCACAATCCTGCATTTGCAAAATAATCTGTCATACAGAATCATAGAATTGTAGAGTGGGGAGGGACCCTAAGGGCAATGTGGTCGAACCCCTGCGATGCAGGAATCTCAACTAAAGCATCCATGACAGATGGCCATCTAACCCATCGTTCTGCCCGGACACTGAGGTCCAGCGCCGAGGGCCTTCTGGCAGTTCCCTCACTGTGAGAAGCCAAGTTACAGGGAACCAGACAGAGGGCCTTCTCAGTAGTGGCACCCACCAGATGTCAAAGAGAAAAACAGCCACCAGACTTTTAGAAGACATCTGAAAGCAGCCCTGATTAGGGAAGCTTTTAATGTTTAACAGACCACTGTATTTTAATACTTCGTTGGAAGCTGCCCAGAGTGCCTGGGGGGGCCCAGCCGGATGGGCGGGGTATAAATAATAAATTATTATTATTATTATTAACCTCTAATGAAGGAGAGCCCACAGCCTCCCAAGGGAGACGTTTCCACTGTCGAACAGCTCTTCCTGTCAGCAAGTTTCCTGATGTTTAGTTGGAATCTCCTTGTAACTTGAAGCCATTGGTTTGAGTCTTACCCTCCAGAGCAGGGTGAAAACAAGTTTGCTCCATCTTCCGTGTGACAGCCCTTGAGATAATTGAAAGATGGCTATCATACCTCCATCTCAGTCTCCGGCTTAAAACGCTTAACTGTTCTTGAGTTGCTTTCTATTTATTTATTTTAATTTCTAACAAATGAAATAATTGCTGGCACTCAGCTAGTGGTGCATCTTTATTTATGAATACTTACCCTAGCAAGGTAACTCGGAATGTGGAAATAAAGCCAAGCCATTAAGATGACCTGTAGCTATGGGCAGAAGGGTGAAGGCCTCCCAACACCCCTGTCTTGTTCTGGCCTAGCTTTGCTTCACACAGTGTTTTCTTTGATGCCAACTTCCTCCTTTACCCCTCTTCCTCCCTTGTCTGCTCTTCCCTTGGTTCTCTTTGTTTCTTCACTCTGCCCCCCCACCCCCCCAGTGTTCCTCAGACTCCTGCCTCCTTCACCTTCTTCACACTTCTCCTACCCTTTTCTGTTGCCCACAGTGGATCGTGACCCATTTTCTCCCTTCTGTTGGCAGCTTCTGTCTCTTTTCTAGCCTGTGTGTTTGGCCTAACATGCCTCTTGTACGCTTTCTGGGCATAAGATGCTTCTATTCAAAGATGCTGTATGAAAGATATATTGAACCAAACACCCTTCTTAACAACTGCAGAACAGGCCTCAGGGAATTCATTTAAGCTGAGGGTGCCAGCTATTCATTTGCCAATGTTTGGGGGCTGAAGCCTGGATGCTCCAAGCCAGCCTTCAGCTTGGCTTTTCCCTCCCCATTGTTTCCTATATGAGGCTGAGGGTTCCTTCCCAAAGGTTATAAGCACTCTTAAGCCTCTTTTCTTTTCCGCTTTTATGATGTTGCCTCTCCTCCTTGCATCCGGGAAACAGCTTAGGAGGCAGTAGGACCCATGCAGGACCTCGCTCACAAACTTGGGTCTCCAACGGTTTGGGGACTACAATTCCCATCTTCCCTGACCTCAGGTCCTGCTAGTTAAGGATGATGGGGGCTGTAGTCCCAAAACAGCTGGAGACCCAAGTTTGGGAAACCCTGGCCTAGATGCATGAGTCCTGTTGATTCCATTACTTTTCTGTTACAAGCTGATGTTGGAAAGTGTCGCATAATTAAACGTTGAGCTAGATGCTGTCAGGAGAAGCAGCGCTGCCATATCGGGTCTCTTCTCCCCCCTTTCCCCTGCGACATGTAAAACTGAATATTCCATCAGGGTGTGCAATTCTCTGACATGCGGAGAACTTGTCACGAGGGATTGCTTGTTGGGCAGCAGCTGTAGGAGTGATTTACCTGCTCCCACTTTCAGCTTCCATTGCATTCTGCAGAGTGTTGGTTGTGTCCAAAGCTAAAGCTCAAGCCATTCTCCGCCGCCCCCCGTACTGCCAAAAAAGACTCTTCAGAGGGTTGGAGAGATCAGTTGACTACCGGGGGCAATACAGGGCCACAGTAGAAGATGTGATTGCTTGAAATCAAGGGGACAGGGAACCTTGAAGTGCTACAAGCACAAGATCCCACATATTTTCTCTCATCCATGGTAGCCGTGTGAGACATCGAGTACACAATGATCTGTAGCAACCCCTGGTTTCTGGAGAGGTTGGTGTGAGAGGGTGCAAGGAGGGGAAGGGAAAGACCTTGCTTACACAAGGTTGGCTACCTCTGAAGGTCTGTTTTAAGTGTCGTTTTTCAGTCAGCTTCATAAAATGCACGTCGCCGTTTTCAGGGTGAGTGGGAGTTCTGGGAAGCTAGCATGCAAGAGGAGCTTTCAAATTAGTTCATGCTTTGTGATAATTACGGCTATAGATTTTAAATTCTAGAAGGGTTGCTTGTCCTCAAGAAAAGGCTCACGTGCTGTTGTTGGGACAGAGAGAGTTTGTTGTGGTAAAATGAGAAAAATGCTGGGAGGAATTGTGACAGACGGAGGCAATGGATGCAGCCATTTGCTGCACCATAAGGCGTCCCCTATTCAAGGTGGCGTCAGTTCTGTGCCCAGAATTTTCAGTCTTCACTGGGTTTGAAGTAGGCGGCGAAACCTGCCGTTCTGTATCCCATTTATTCTAGGATTTGCCCTAATGAAGCTTTTCGGGTAGAGTTAAATTTGCACTAAGTATTATAACAAGATTACAGTTTGACCCCGGAGATTATTTCTACGGTGCGTGTAATCAAAATCATACGGATTAAAAAAATAATAATGGCAACAACAAAATCCTGTCGTACAGATGGTGAAAAATGCATCATGATGGTTTGCATTTCAGATCTCAGTTTATAGTAGGCACATTTTGCTTAAGAGAGAGTTTCCTTCCTTTGAACAGTAACCACTTACTTTTAATGTTCTTTTGATGTGTTTAAAAGCTTCCTGACTTTTTTTCCCTGTTTTTTCTCCACTCTCCACTTCCACAGCCTGGATTTGTGGCATCATTTCTATCACAGTCATTAGCCTGCTGTCCTTGCTAGGTGTGATCTTGATTCCTATCATTAACCAAGGGTGCTTCAAATTTCTCCTCACCTTCCTGGTCGCTCTTGCTGTAGGAACAATGAGTGGAGACGCGCTGCTTCATCTGTTGCCACATGTGAGTTCTAACCCATCCCTTGCACTTCTTGTGTGTCTTCCCTTTCCATCGAAAGCTCCTTAAGCACCTGCAAAAGCATCCACACATTTAACTTGTGTTGCCTCCGCTAACTTGTCTGCTGATGGCAGCTTTCCAAAAAGAAATGAATAAAAACGAGTAGACCAGCCTTTCCCACTGCCTGCTTGATGTTACGCTGCTGCAGTTTCTCATCGGCCCCAACCAGCATTGCCAATGGTCAGGGATTCTGGGAAATGTAGTCCAACAGCTTCTGGTTGGGGGAGGCTGGAAATAGGGAAATAGGAACCTGCCTTAAAGGTAAAGGTAAAGGGACCCGACCATTAGGTCCAGTCGTGACCAACTCGGGTTGCGGCGCTCATCTCGCTTTACTGGCCGAGGGAGCTGGCGTACAGCTTCCGGGTCATGTGGCCAGCATGACTAAGCCACTTCTGGCGAACCAGAGCAGCGCACAGAAACGCCGTTTACCTTCCCGCCGGAGCAGTACCTATTTATCTACTTGCACTTTGACGTGCTTTTGAACTGCTAGGTTGGCAGGAGCAGGGACTGAGCAACGGAAGCTCACCCCATTACGGGGATTCAAACCGCCGACCTTCTGATCGGCAAGTCCTAGGCTCTGTGGTTTAACCCACAGCGCCACCCAGGAACCTGCCTTACGCAGAGTCAAACCATTGGTCCATCTAGCTCAGTATTGACTACAGGCAGGGAATCTTCCCTTACCCGACCTGGAGATTCCTGGGAATGGACCTGGGACCCTCTGAATGCTCTGCCGCTGACCGGTGGCCCTTCCAAGATGGACCCTCAGGCTGATCTAGATCAGAGCACTCTGTGTGAGAGAGGGAAAGAGAAACCTGACATTCAGAAGACATCTTAAGGCAGCCCTGTTCAGGGAAGTTTTTAATCTGTGATATTTTAGTGTATTTTTGGTTTCTATGGAAGCCGCCCAGAGTGGCTGGGGAAACCCAGCCAGATGGGCGGGGCACAAATAATAAATTATTATTATTATTCTTTTCTGGTTGTAAAGGGCAACACGACGCATCTTGTAGACCTGGCTTTTTACTTTGGAGGGTGCTCACCGCATGTCTTTCTCTTACCCGCCCTTAGTCGCAAGGGGTGCACAACCACAGCCACGAGAACCACGAGCACCACCACGAGCACCAGCATCTCCATGGCCATTCCCACGGCAGCGGAGGAGCGGTCCAGGGCTTCCTAGAAGAGTATGATGCTGTGCTGAAAGGGCTGGTGGCCCTGGGTGGAATTTACCTCCTGTTCATCATCGAGCACTGCATACGAATGTTCAAGCACTACAACAGACAAAGGGTATGTTTTGACATCTCTTCCGTGCTCGTGTGCAATGAAGATGTGGGGAAGAGTAGGTCTGAACTCTTAAAAACGAAGCCATTAATGGAAAGTGTGCAAAATTGCCTGCTGACCTAGTCTAGCCAATAAAATTTAATTCTGGCAGGTATCCAGGTTTAAACAGCCAGCAGAACCCAAGAAAGATTTTGTTGCCATTGACCATATACCCTAGGTTCTAATGTTAGCAACCAAACAGACCGGTTGCTGTATGTGTGACACTGAATCACACCACTGACCCATCTAATCCAGTTATCGTTGGCCCTGACTGGCAGCCACATTCTGAGTTATGAAATACAGACCCTCTGACCTGGGTTTCTTTAAAGTGGAGGCGCTGGAGGTTGAATGTGTGACTTTAGGCATAGAAATCCCGTACTCTTCAACAGAACGGTTGTGGATCCAGCATTTTTAACATCCAAACTTGGCAATATGCAAAAAGCTCTTCCTGTGAAAGTTTGGAAACATTTGAAAATGACTTGAGTGATGAGTATCTGTTTTAAAGCTTTTTTAAAATATATATATATAAGACTAATGCGTCTTTCTGGAACGATGCCCAGTGAGACAAGCAAACAACAGTCTGTGCAGCAAGTATTATTTTTCCATCCTTTTTAAAAATAGAGCAAGCTTTCCAACCTCACCCAAGGACAGTTGTGCCTTGGAAGCCGAATGGAATCCGTTCCAGAAGTCCGTTTGACTTCCAAAATGTTCAGAAACCAAAGCGCGGCTTCCGATTGGCTACAGGAAGCTCCTGCAGCCAATCGGAAGCCCCGTCGGACGTTCGGGTTCCAAAGAATGTTCGCAAACCAGAACATTCACTTTCGGGTTTGCGGCATTCGGGGGCCAAAACATCTGAGTACCAAGGTGTTTGGGATCCAAGGTATGACTTTGCGTGGAAGGTCTTTTTACTAAGGTCCCCCCCCCCCCAATTTACTGATGGAATCACTGTCTTTGGTGTGGGACAAGTCTAGGTTGTTGATTTCACTTGTTTTTCCAGCTTGACTGCCTCACACTCCTCAAGATGGGGTAGTCAATGCTGTGCCCTCCTGACTTGGCCGGGAGTCCCCAAACCCATCACTCCCCAACCTGCGTGGCCGGTAGCTGGCGAGTATGCTACAGCCCAGCAACATCTTGAGGGCACCACGTTGGCTACCCCTTGCTCTGTGAAACATCCCTGAGGAGTAAAGTTTCTGCTGCAAGGGAAGATTAACATTCTGCTCCTTTCCTGTGTAAATCTCTTGTTTTGTATTGCTTTCAAGAGTCTCATTCATCTCCTCCACTAGCACTTCCTTACCAAAGAACCACCCTACTGCTTAGCTATTTGTGGCTGCACCATGTTCTCCCAGGCTCCCGGTCTAGTTTTTTGTTCTTGTCAGAGGCTAATTGTCTGGTCCCCTCGCAGTTTTATCGCCCCTAGAAACTTATAGGGCAAAGTGGATCTGTCCTAGGAATTTGCCAGCTTTAGAAGCAGCTGCAGCAACAAGCAGTTGTGTGCAAGGGTGTTGTGAAGGCGTCGGCCCCAAGAAGTTGAACAGGCTTGATTTGTTCTCCCAGAGGGTAAAGGGATTGGGATTTAGACTGTCAGAAGCTCAGACGGTCATAAGATGGCTTGCGAAAGAGGAGCAGCTTCCCCAGGCAGACTTGTTACTATAAACCCAAACTGCTGGGATCAGAGAGTGTGTTCAACATAGGAGGGAGCTGCTGAAGCTTATTTGTCTTTACATGCGTTTGGTCTTTTACAAGACGAAGGAGCTATTAAATAAAAGAGGGAGAAAAAGCTGGTGTGTTACAATTCCCTGAAGGGTGTGTGTGTGTGTTTAAGTCAAACTAGCCTGATTTCTAAGTTACGAATATGTGTTACATTTTTGTCTTCCTTTGAAAATTTGCCTTTTAATTAATTTTTATTTGACTAGAACTGGGGCAAATCCCAACCGCTTGGGCACCTGGGCCTTTTGATCAGGGTGCAAAGAACTTGAAAAACTTTTCACTCAACCTTTCAGTGTTCTTCTTTTGACAATACAAGTACAGTCGCACCTCGGAAGTTGACGAATCGGTTCTAGAAGTCCATTTGACTTCCAAAACGTTCGGAAACCCAAAGCACGGCTTCTGATTGGCTGCAGGAACCTCCTGCAGCCAATTAGAAGCCTCATCGGAGGTTCGGCTTCCAAAAGAAAGTTTGCAAACCGGAACACTCACTCACAGTTTTCCATCATTCGGGAGCTGGAACATTCGACTCCCAAGGTGTTCAGGAGCTGAGGTACAACTGTACAAGCTAAAAATACTTATTGCTGCCTTTTGGGTGGGCGGGGACAGGAATCTGGTAGTTTTCAGTATCCCCAATTGAAAACTGGAGAAATGGCAGTGAGAGTTTTTCTATAATAGCCTTCCCTGAACCTGGTGTCCTTCTGACACCGTTGGGACTCCCGACACCCATCATCCCCAACCAGTCTGCCTAAGGGTCACGGATGAAGTCGTTCAACACCAGCTTGCAGGAGACTGTCCTGTACAGTGAGAAACACAACAGGAGAATAAACCCTTCGCAAGACAGAAGGCACAACTCATCGTCTTGTCTCATGTTCACAATTCAAGATCCCTGTGAGCAGGGATGGGGAATCCATGGTCTTCCCAGATACATTGCTGAACTCCCATCATGCCAGACCATTGGCCAAGCTGGCTGGGACAGGATGGGAGCTGGAGTCCCAACAGCACCCACAGGAGCACAGAGGCTCACCATCCCTGTTACAGACCACCTCCTGAGTCCCTCTTCTCCCCTCCCCTGCAGCCAGAGGTCCTTCTGGGGCACTGGTAACACTGCGCTTGGTCATTGCCCACAGGAGCACAATTAGCCTGTGTGCTGGGAACCCAGGGAATAAAAATCCATTGGCTATCATGGGTACCTGAATATGCAAGCCTCGTGTTATTATGAAAGGAGGCGCCTGTTGTGGTTTGCCCAGTGCAGGAGCAGCAAATCCAGCGAGGAGGAGGAGAAGCTTCCCTAGAAAATCAGGAATTTTCCCCCCACATGCACAGAGCTGCATAGGAGGGGAAGGACTGGGCTGATTTAAAAACTGAAGCACCTTTATGCATGGGGAAGAAAATGTAGGCAAAGAATCTTTGCAAGGGATGTAGCTGCAAGATTTGCGTGAATCTGAGAAATGAGATGCATTGGACGAATCAGTGGCTGAGCCACTGTTTTTTAACATCCTCAGTGGTGCGGGGGGGGTATATATTTAGGGGATCGCAGCATTGGTTGGTCATTGTGCCTTGCAGCTCTTCACTTGTGCTTTTTGCCTTTCTTCAACGCCATCCCTGTTGTTGCAGGTCAATCATTAACTGCCAGGTGCCTTCTTCCTCCCTTCCTTTCACCTCTTTCAGACTAAACAGAAGTGGTGTAAGAAGAAACAGAAGGTCGATGATTCGCCAATTGGAAGGAAACTTTCAGATCATAAGCTAAACAGGCCGGATGCTGACTGGCTTCAGCTCAAGCCTCTAGCAGGTATACCATTCATTATCAGCCTGTCTGCTCACACAGCCTTTGCAGAGACAACTGTGTTGTACGACCATTAATCCGGCCTCGTGGCTTAGTCTCTCCCTCCTTCTCCGTCTCAACCTTAGTCAGTAAATCTCCTTTAATTGATGACTAGAGCTGTCACCTGATAAAGGAATACTAGCTGAGTAATCTTACAAGTTCCAGCCCATTAATTAAATCAATTAGATATGCATAGATTTGCATCCTTTCTTCATTTTAGGCGATGTACGTCACAGTAGGGGACGCGGGTGGCGCTGTGGGTTAATCCACAGAGCCTAGGGCTTGCCGATCAGAAGGTCGGCGGTTCGAATCCCCGTGACGGGTGAGCTCCTGTTGGTGGGTCCCCGCTCCTGCCAACCTAGCAGTTCGAAAGCACATCAGAGTGCAAGTAGATAAATAGGTACCGCTCCAGTGGGAAGGTAAACGGCGTTTCTGTGCACTGCTCTGGTTCACCAGAAGCAGCTTACTCATGTTGACCACACGACCCGGAAGCTGTACGCCGGCTCCCTCAGCCAGTAAAGCGAGATGAGCACCGCAACCCCAGAGTCAGCCACGACTAGACCTAATGGTCAGCGGTCCCTTTACCTTTACGTCACAGTAGGGGTACCATTTTGGAAGAAGTGTTCTTTAACCTTTTTCTTCCCCCTTCGGATTTTTTTTTTTTAATTTGCTGCCCAATCAACTGATTCACTGGTTTTCAACCAGTGTGCCATAGCTAGGGATGATGGGAGTTGTAGTCCAACAACAGCTGGAGAGCCAAATTTGGAAAACGCTGCTGTAGCCCATCTAGGCTCTCACCTTGAGTGGTATGAATTGCTACCCACAGGTATTCACAGCAGGAACCTCCCCCGCCCCCAGTTCATCAAAACAGCGGAGGAATAGGGTGGGAAAGAAAGAAAGAAAAAGGGGTTAGCAATGAGGCACAGCTGGTGTCTCTCCCAGTTCTGACAAAACCCGCAGCCCTCAAGGTTGCTAGAGAAGGACATGCAGATGGATTTGCTGGTCTTCCTCTATCTCTCTTCTTCTCCCCAGCCAGAAGCAGCAGCATTCAGGGTCCTCCATTCAGGGATTCGCCTGAGCTTCTTAATGAAAACAAATGCATAGGCAGGTGGCACTTTGTACATGGACACTTTGAACTGGTTATCTTCACTATATAAAAGTGTTTTACCATCTCACCTATGCAGCTTTTCTCTTTTCATACATGTCCATGTGTGCTTGCACAAATACACAAGAAACATTGCCTGCCACAGTTTCTCAGCTAAAATAAGCCTGCCTGTAAGTTGCAATTCGTGGTTACCCTTGTTGTGCTGTTATATGTTGCTGTCAGGGCTGATCTTCAAAAAGTACACTGCCGAAAGGCTACAAGATAGGAACTGGACCTCTTTAGCACCTGATGTGCATGCTAAGTGCTGCGGGTAAGTATTGGCGGCATCTCTGTCTTAATCGATGCCCCATTGTCACCCCTAATTAAGACCCTGTGTTTCTCTGGCTCTTTCGACACAGGAGCAGATGACTCTGTTTTATCCGACGATCGACTTAACGAAACGGAACTAACTGACCTGGACGGCCAGCTTGACTCCCTGCCAAAGACCTTCCTGTCCGTAGAGGAGGAAAACAGTATGCTCCACTCCCATAACAATGTATCCCATGGTGTCCAGGAGAACGATCGCCCCGACGTGGAGTACGAAAGCAACCACCGAGAGGATAAAATCGTAGCTCGAAAGCACAACCACATCTGGTCCCACAAACACTCCCACCATTCTCATGGACACTGCCAGTCCGGCAAAGACCTGAAAGACACTGGAATAGCGAACATAGCCTGGATGGTAATAATGGGAGACGGGATCCACAATTTTAGCGATGGGCTGGCCATTGGTAAGTGCTTTGGGGTGTGTTCTTTGCCGCTAGCTATACTGCATAAAATACAGTAGCATGATAGTATTGACGACTAGTGCCTAAAATAGCTAGGCTCTCTACAGAAAATTCGGAAATGAAACAGGCTTTGTCTTTGTTGAGGAGGAAGGGGGAAGAAGGAATCTGCTGGGAAGAGGGAAGTTTCTGCTTGGAAAAAGCAGATGTAGTTCAGGGATACCCAAACTTGGGCCTCCAGCTGGTGTTTTTTTTTTGGACTACAACTCCCATCATGAGCTAGCAGGACCAGTGGTCAGGGATGATGGGAACTGTAATCTAAAAACAGCTGGAGACCCACATTTTGGGAAACCCTGCTGTAGATAGATCCACTCCATGATATCAGCTCCTTTGTGTAGCAGGACCACAGTGGAATAAAGTCTTGCTCACTTCTGATGGAAATGGCAGACCACCTCCCACCCTGTAGCTACCAGTTACCTACCAGACTTGGCAGGAAGGAGAGCTTCTCCGGCCTGTTGGACTAAGACTTCTCCTAGTTTATTGAGAGGGGCATGGGCTTGTTGGAAGAAACAGCACCACTGAGTTGGGTAGTGTGCATTTTTATCGGGGAGCAAGATGGAATCTTCCTGATAATTGTTACCAATGGAGGCATCTCCCTTGGTGGAAGGTTAGGAGGTTCTGCTGATTCTTCCAGCCCCAGCAGCTGACCACATAGCTGGGGCCTCCGTAAATTTCATCAGATCTTGTATGGAACAGGCGCTTGCATTTCAGCCGGCCCAGCGCAGGCTATTCCAAGGAAGTTAGCTGTGGTGTTGCTGGCCGTAACGGTCCCTTGTGAGTCAAAGGGACAGGAGCCTTAAAGACTCCTTGAAAACAAGCTTACAGAAGTAGCAGTGTGTTAGCAGCCCACCTACATGCACCTGTGCTAATCATTTGATCTGAAAACAAACAAAACAAACCCAGCCCAATTCTCTTTCAATTTGCAAACCCAGCCCTGTGATTCTTACCTGTGATAGGCAACCAAACCCACTGGCTATTTAGGTGGTCAGCCTTAGCCACCCCAATCTGATATCTCAGACAAGTTGAAAAACATGTTATATCTTCTTAATCTTTCTTGCTATAGATCCCACATGGAGATGATTAAATTGTCAAGAGAGGCGTTCTGCTTTCAGCTGCCATTCCTAGCATTTTGAGTGCACTATTTGTTTTATTTTATAAAATTTATGTGCTGTTTGATTTTTTTAAAAAGTGATTTTATAAAGGGCGGGGGGGGGCCAAAATGATTGGTAAAAACAAATAAACACAACTATTCAAAACAGTTTTTAAAAAACCCTTAAAATTAGCAACAAAGGATAAAGGTCATCAACATTCTACATATCTGGGTAGGCTTTTCTAAACAAATGTTAGCAAGGTGCCCAAAAGAGCACAGTGAGGGCAACCTGCCTGGTCTCAGCAGACAGGGAGCTGCAAAAGACTCAAAAGATCGATTTCTTATAAATGCAGAACGAGTATTATATGGCATCTGTAGCAGTGCTGGTTCCGCAGATGGAAGCAGTCAAGTCAGCATATTGGGGTAAAGCAATCTCGCAGGTAAACTGGTGCCAGGTTGCTAAGGGTTTTATATACTAATAGGAGCACCTTGAAAGGGACATGGGTGGCGCTGTGGGTTAAACCACAGAGCGTAGGACTTGCCGATCAGAAGGTCGGCGGTTTGAATCCCCGCTACGGGGTGAGCTCCCGTTGCTCGGTCCCTGCTCCTGCCAACCTAGCAGTTTGAAAGCACGTCAAAGTGCAAGTAGATAAATAGGTACCGCTCTGGCAGAAAGGTAAACGGCGTTTCTGTGCGCTGCTCTGGTTCGCCAGAAGCGGCTTAGTCATGCTGGCCACATGACCCGGAAGCTGTACGCTGGCTCCCTCGGCCAATAAAGCGAGATGAGCGCCACAACCCCAGAGTCGGTCACGACTGGACCTAATGGTCAGGGGTCCCTTTACCTTTACCTTTAGGAGCACCTTGAACTTGGCTCCAGTAGCAGATCGGTAGCCAGTGCAGGTTTTGCAAGCTGACCAAAGTCTCATTCCTGTCGTGTGTCTTTTTTTTTATCGTGTTTGATTCTCTCTTGGTCTGTCACACCGAAAGAGAACGTTGCTTTTGGTTGGTGCCACAGAGAAGTCACTAAGGCTGCAATCCTAGGCCCCACTTACCTGGGAAGAAGACATCCACAACCAAGTGGGACTGAGTTTTGAGCAGACAGCGCATGGGATTGCTCTGTAAGATAGGAGCTGGCTTTTAAGCCTGAATTTCAGATGCGGGAGGAAAAGGTCAGAGAGCCGACCGTTCCCTCCTGGGCGCTCTCATCTGTTCATATTTTCCCAGATTCCAAAGACAGCGCAGTTCCTTTCTTTAAACATAGGACAGAACATTTAAGAACAGATATTCAAAACACCGCTCCTGCGGTTAACGTTACAAAATCTCGGGACAAAGAAAGCTCTCATTTATTGTCTCTGCTGATGGATTTGCTTGAAAATAACCAATCTGAAAATAACTGTTCCTTTGTTGCGTTTTGTTTTGTGTTTCCCTCTTGCCCCCTCAGGAGCAGCTTTCAGTGCTGGCTTGACCGGAGGAATTAGCACATCCATAGCAGTATTTTGTCATGAGCTTCCCCATGAATTGGGTAATCAGTTAATCTGATGTCAGCTGTGCATGCTTCTGTGATTGAAGAATTTTTTTTCATATTAAAAGATTTGATTGTTTTCATGGCCAAAAATATGCAGGGTATATCTGGCGATGCAGCAATAGCTGACACAGCTGCATTTGTTTATGTAGTTCTCCCTGGGAGGGGAAGGGGGTGCTGTGCGTTTCCTACCACCATTTGGGGCCCCACAGGATCATCTAGTCCATCCCCCTGCAACATGGGAATACGCAGCTCTCTCACACGGGAATCGAACCTGCAAGCCTTGGTGTTATCAGCACCATGCTCAAACCAATGAGCTTTCCAGGCACATATTATTTAAGGTTCTGCAACTTGTGTGTCTTCTAGAGAATTATCATAGAAAGGTCTGGAACAGAAAAGTAAAAATCACACATAGGCCCTATGAACCAACCACTGCATGTTCAGAGGTCTCCGGGTGACTAGTAGTAGCTGTCAGAAATCTGCAGGCAAGATCCACTTTTGCAGTCTTCTCAGAACTCCCATTCTCTTGCTCACTTATCCTGGCTTCTTTGATTTGGTCCTGGGAGAAGCAAAGCACTGCTAGTGAGTGAGCAAGTCGTGCTAAGAGAGCTCATTGGAAAGAGGTCTTTTAGCAAGTACCTATAGGGGCGGGTCTTGCAGATAGATGTTGCTACAGGAACCTGGAGGCTTCTGAATTTTGGCAGTTCATAGGATGCCACGTGAACCAGGCCATCGGTGGTTGCTTATGATGTGGAAACATGTTGTCATTGATGTGGATGCAAGTACGCTCAGAGGCCTGTGGCTGGCAGTCTGCTGAATTTGGGGGACTGATGATGCCTGTTAAATGAAACTTGAGCATTTGTTTCATTACAGCTTAAAAGTGATATGCAGTCATACCTTGGTTTTCGAGCAGCCTACTTCTCAAATGTTTTGGCTCCCGAACGATCGAAACCCAGAAGTGACTATTCCGGTTTTCGAAAGTTATTTTGGAAGCCAACCATCCGACGGGGTTCCGCGGCTTCCGATTGGCTGCAGGAGCTTCCTGCAGTCAATCAGAAGCCCCGATTTGGAAGTCGAACAGACTTCTAGAACGGATTCCATTCACCGTCCAAGGTATGACTATATCCTCTTATCAATTCATGTTAGCTGAGCCCATCTCTTGTAGAGACACCTGTTTCCCTCTGCTTCTCGCTTAGAATGACCCGGAGCATGGGAGACTCCTGTCCAACCATGTGCCTCGGGGACAGCAGCGCTCATTATCTCATTTCAAAGTTTCTATGTTCTCTGGCTGCTTTTCTTCCCCACTGCCAGTGAGCACTTCCACCCTGACTGCTTTATTGAGGCTCTGTGCTCTATTCCATTCTCACTCCAAAGGCCTTACAGGATTGCAAGAGGGGGGGTGAATTGATCATGTCGCAGACTTAAAAGAATGACGGCCAGCTTTGCCCCTTTGAAATAAAACGGATTTTAAAAAATAGAAGAACGTCAGTAGCTCAGACCCACTTGTTTTTCATCCAACTGTTTTGCCTGTACAGCAGGCATCAATATTACACTTTTGCATTTCTTTAAGCAAAGATTCCTTGAACTTTTTTGTGATCACATTGCCATTCTGTCTCTCTTTCTGTTTAGGGGACTTTGCTGTGCTTCTGAAAGCAGGCATGACTGTGAAACAGGCCATTGTTTACAACCTCCTCTCAGCCATGATGGCTTACGTAGGAATGCTAATAGGGACAGCTGTGGGACAGTATGCAAATAACATCACCCTGTGGATCTTCGCAGTCACCGCCGGCATGTTCCTCTACGTGGCCCTGGTGGATATGGTAAGAGCCCAGGCTACATGGCATTGTGTGCAGACATCACAGCTCTGCAATAGCTTAATGAAACTAAGCAATCTAGGAATAGTTGCTGCATGGTGTGCTAGAGGCAGCCTGCAGTTGCTCCTTTTAGCCTGTGCCCTCCAGATACTGCTCTCTGTGACTGTTGGCCATGCTGGCTGGGGCGGAGGGGAGCTGGGCTCTGGGAAGGTGACACAGGTTCCCCCACTCTGCCCTGTAGTCCCCTCCCTTTTGAATTAACTCCAACCACTGCCTAGGTCTCCTCCTTCTATTAGGTCTGCAGTAGAGGAGCCACTTCAGCAGAGCTCTTTCCCGTGGAAGGTCCAAAACCTTAGGTTGCGTGGAGGAAACCACGCTGCTTCAGAGACTCCCAAGACAGAGGAGATTGGGTGCCGTCAGGGGTAGAGCTGGGCAACATATTGGCAAATGGCCTGAAACCGGTATGGCGTTCAGATCACAATGCCGGTTTCAGACATTTTGAGTTGGCAATACAGTCGTACCTCGGAAGTTGAGCAGAATCCGTTCCGGAAGTACGTTTGACTTCTGAAATGTTTGAAAACCAAATCGCAGCTTCAGATTGGCTGCAGGAAGTTCCTGCAGCCAATCGGAAGCCCCGTCAGACGTTTGGCTTCCAAAAATAGTTTCTAAACCGGAACAGTCACTTCCGGGTTTGCGACGTTCGCGAACCAAAATGTTTGAGAACTAAGCTGTTAGGAAACCAGGGTGCGACTATACACACCACCAACTCAAGTTGCCTCCAAAGGTGCAGGCAGATAGTCAGAGCCTGAGAAAGTTCAGGGCAAGTTCTGGCTTGGGCTCCATCTGCCTGCCTGCGCCTTTGAAGAAGGCCAACCCTCCAGCACATTTCAACTTCAGCAACATGGGGGTCGCTCAGCAGAGGGGTGGGAGGCTTCATGCCCTCCAGCTGAGCAGTTTAACAAACCCCTGATGTCCCTCTGGCTCATGCGAGCTGGAGAGGTATTGGGGCTTGCTCACCTGGGTGGCAGGAGGCTTCACACGCCCACCCCCCAGCTGATCAGTTTAATGAAGCCCCTGCCAGCTGGAGTGGTATGGGGCTCGGGCTGGGAGGAAGAAGAGTCAATATACATTCCAGGCATCATGATATATCAAGCATGTCACGGTATTTAGCTGCTGATACATTACAATGTTGAAAACCAGATATCGCCCCCAGCCCTAGTGAGGGGATGCTCTTGCAGGGCCCTGGGTGTTCACACATTATGCAAGGCACAACAACTCCTGTACTGCCAGCACAATATGAGTAGGACCTTTTGGAGTTTTGCATGTAAGTAACTTTCCCCCGATAGAAGAACCTGAAGAGGTGCGGTAGAATTGACTGGTGCCTGTGTAAAACAGGCCATAGGATTGTACCTGTGCCCCCCCCCCAAAAGCAAATTCCCTCTTACTCTCCCTTTACCTGTGGAGGAGGGGGAAGTCATTGTAGGGAGAACGCATGCATACTTCCATTATGTCTGCACCAGCCTAGTATGTGGCTCACATGCTTTGAGGTTTGCATTGCTGCTTTTGAAGTGTTGCGCTACGAAACAGGAAACAGTGGAACAGACCATTATGGTATAGGCCAGAAAATAAGTTGATAGGGAAAGCTTTTGAATGTAATCCATTCCAGAAGATCGTTCGACTTCCAAAATGTTCGAAAACCGAGGTGCAAAGGGCGGTCTGCTCAGCGGAAGCCGTTCGACTTCTGAGGCACGTTCAAAAACGGAAGCATTTACTTCCGGGTTTTCGGCGTTTGAAAACCGAAATGTTCGACTTTCGAGACATTTGAAAACTGAGGTACCACTGTATTCAAAAGCTGATTTGTTGGTGACATAAATGCTCTGCTTGGTAGGAATAAGACAAACCTCTTAACAGGTGCAAACCATAAAAGGGGATGGAAACAACTGGAATTTTAAGGTGTCCTGTAACAAGGAGGTTTTAACAAGATGAAGGGTTGGTGCAGACATAACGGGGGGTGGGCCATGATTCAGCATTTTCCATAGCCAAGATTCAGGAAGTCCCACTTCCTGCCTTAGAGAAGAATATACAAAACCATGGTTCCAGCTAATTGGGTCCTCCACTCTAAGCAGTTTAAACAACCCTTAGCTTAGGGAGGAAGCAGGAGCACATAATCTTCTGACCACCTCCGTCCCTCTATCCTCAGAAAGTGGTCTGACTTTGACTTTAAAGAGCCATACTTTTCCTTCCTTTCAGCTTCCAGAAATGCTTCACGGGGACGGAGACGACGAAGAACACGGCTACTGTCCCGTGGGGCAGTTCATCCTCCAGAATTTAGGTCTTCTCATGGGATTTGCCATTATGTTGGTGATTGCCCTTTACGAAGACAAAATTGTGTTGGACATCCAGTTTTGACCATTTCCAGTACTCCGCTGTGGTTAGCGACGACGTTACTGTATGGCTTCAAGTCTGCACTGTTGTACTGTATGCACATTCGTCCCCAGGCAAAGCAGTGGCACGAGCTGCTTCACAAGTAACAGTATTCTGGTGTCTGCATAAACAAGCTCCTGTTTTTTTAGCTCAAACAAACAGGCAAAAAACAAAAAATGATTGAATGCAGCTCAGCTTCCCAAAGGTAAGATGTAGACTTTTAATTGGGCAGTGTTGGAAGCAGGAAACATAAACGTCATGCCCAGGATGCTGTTAGCAAGTGTGTTGTTTTCCCAGTTTGCCACTGCAATGTGCAGCAGAAGTCGGATCCCTTGCTGACAAAAAGCCTTTCAGGTTATACTTGAGCAAATGTTGAATAGCCAGTCCAAGAGTTACATGTCATTGTCATTCTCTACAGCTGGCCCCTGGGCCTCGTTGCAACGTTTTGAGTTGGTTCCTCCCACCTCTCTCTCTCTCTCTCTCTCTCTCTCTCTCACACACACACACACACACACAGTCTGGCAATGCATGACTGGAGAGCATTCTAGGTGGGGTGCGTTTATTAAAAACATCATTTAAAAAAAACGACGTTTCAGGCATGCTGTTCAGGGGTTGCCTTAGGGCAGTATGAGCAGTGCACTGTTCCATGACCCTTGCATTTGCTCCAGGCCTAGTTTCCCAGTAATGTCCGCTGTTTTGCACTGTGCTGAATGGTTGGTGACCAAAGTGAAACCGTGTATTCGTCTGGGTCAGGCACTTCTGTTTACTGGTCCTTGCCAATCCCCTAGTCGGTACGATGTCTCAAGAAGACGTTCTTGCTTGCAATCGCTGCCATGCACTCCCTTAGCCCAGCAATGTTGTTTTGCGGCTCCTTTGGGAAAGAAGACTGCAAATCCACAAGCCTGTCCCCTTGTATGTCGGCCACATAATGCGGTACTTTTGACCTTTCGAAACCCAAGGAAGCAAATCTCTGCATTGGGAGCCTTGGGGGCTCTGTTTCCACAATAGGGCTGAGTTGACAGGTGTTGGGTATTTGATTTTGGCTCATAGGTATTTGTTAGCAAAAATGCTGAATGGTTAATGCTGCTTGTGGACTCTTTCTCGAACTTTTGCTGCAGTAGTGTACAGAATGTGTAGCAGTGCTACTTGAAACCTGAACTACTGAGCTGTTTTTTGCTTTGAACATCTCCCTCCCCTCCTCTTAATGATGCGCCTGCATTGGATTATTTTCGGTCATGGCAGCCAAATTCTATCTCTCATTATAACCTTCAAAAAAATAATAATACGCGGAGCTGAGAAGTGCTGATTCGAGGATCACAGCCGTGGCCCTTTGAGGCAGTCTTGGTAACTGTTTACATAATTCCCCAGAACTCTTTTGAATGTATTCCTTTAATGCCTTGCCACCTGAGCTCAGAAGCACCTGCTGAAAGTTGGGCATCTTGCTCAGTGTGGGCCAACGTTCGGCATATGCTGTGCTGGCATTGTTTTGATTTTTGTTTGTTTTCGGCACCTTAGGTTAGGGGTGGGGCTGCTCCTGCGTTGCTGCTGCAACGTGGCTCTTTTCGTAAGGTGGGAACCCGAAAGGCCAGACCCAATCGACTTCCTATCACAGACACGCCACCGCCTTGAGAGCTAGAGGAAAGTTGAATTTTGACCACTTCCACCACAGCTGTGGGAACTGCAGCGGGAGCCACTCTGCAGAAGTAACGTAAAGAGATGCCCTTGTAGCAAAGCAGCTGTATTGTTGACTTGGTGCTGCGTGCGGACCGATTGGACAGGCTCAGCAAAAAAAAAAAAAAAAGCCTTAACCTGCAGAAATCAGCTTTAATATTTGATTGTTTAGTGCCAAGCAGCATGTCTTGCCAGGTACAGATTGGTCCGTCTCCTCCGAGCTCTGATACTGGGCACTTGGGAGATGTGGAAGTCCTTTTGTGTGACAATAATATAGTCTTAACGGCCGTAACAAAACACGGCAGTTGTTGGGCTTTCTTACAGCATGCTGCTCGGTCTTTGTTCATCTTGGTCTCTCTCTAGAAGCAAAGCTGGACACAGCCTGACTTTTGGAGAGTGGGGAGTTTTTGTCCTTCTGCCCGAGTGGAGGAACTTGGTCGGCAAACTTTTAATGGCCTTCATTCCAAGTGAAAGTGCGCTTTTACTTTCTGACCCTTCCACTTAATTTATCCAGTCATTCCTTTTCGTGTGACCACCGTTAACTACTTGGCTTCATGTTGGGTGACTTTTGTCAAGCGGCTTTTCGTTTTTGTGTTAGCTGGGGGGATATCAAGAGTGTTGACTAGTTGGTGGTTCCAAACCAAAGGCTTGGATCCCCGCGAGTCTGTTAGTGCAGAAAATTCGTTTGGATCATTGGGCCTCTAGAACTTACAAGGGCCACAGCATTGGGGGGCATCTACACAGTGTTGTGGTTGTCCTCCTCCTCCTCCTCCCTGGAGATTTGTAGTTGAGAATGTCTGGCTGGGAGCCCAAGAGTGAGGCTGATCCGTTGTAATCAATGGGATTTTACACTCTTTTTTTCTCTCTGGCTCGGAACTTGGATGTCATTTTAATTAAAACCTGCCAAGTTGAAATAAAGGGTCGTGGCATTGCTGAAGTGAGATTTTAGTCAGGAAAAATGGGATAAGGGAGGGTTTTTAAGGTTTATTTTTGTAATTATGAATAAAGCTTTCTCTACTTCAGGTACAGCCTTTTCTTGATTTTCGCTGGCATGTGCTGTAGCGTAATGTTGCCTACCTAGGGAAGCAAAAAAATAAATTAGTGCTCTGTAATAGTATTTTTGGGTTGGGTTTGCTTTTTTTTTTTTAAAGAGAAAACACGCAGGTCACGTGGAGAAGTGATAGGATTTGTATTTTCCTTCAGAATGGGATGATCCTCTGCATTTGCTTAACATGTGCATGTTACCACTTTGTGAAGCAGCCATGGCTTCTCCTGTTTTCCCCGAGTATTGAATTCCCAGGACATTTTTGGAACGCGAATGCTTTTAAAAGTCACAATTGGGACAATCGGGATTCCGCTACATTTCTACCTGGCTTCTCCATTCCGTTCTGCTGGAGTCCAGTCTCATTTAAACGTGTACTTGTTGGAGGACATAAATGTTACGTGTCTCTTACAATGCTGTCACTGTGTGACATCCCCATGTTGATCGCACTGCACTCAAACCAGCTGTGATTATTGCTTAGAAAAAATGCTGTAGGTGTCCTAGGATGCAGTGTGACATTTTTTTATTTCCTTATAGTTGAAACAATGTGATTATGGTCCTGAAAAAAATACTGAGATATCAGCTACTCTTTTTTTTGGGGGGGGGTGTTTTTTGTTATAACAAAATCCATTTTTAAAAAAATAATAAATGCAAAGCTGGAAATGATGACATGCTGTTTTTGTTTATTGTCAACAGTGTTGTTGTGTTCATCTTATGTATGTTCCTTATTCATAAGGAGCGTAAGAAAATAAAATTATTGAACAAGCAAACATGGTGGGGTTGGTTTTTTCCAAGCTCTTTAAAAAAAATCTTATTTATTTTTACAAACTCAAAAAAGGTACAAATTGGACAAATCGGATTCAAAAGTTTCTGAAGATTTGGCTACCTTTTTTTTTTTTTTTTAAAGAAGGTAGCCATTAGAATTATACAAAGAACGGAAAGTGGTAGTCAGATCTGAAACCTGGGTTACGAGTTAAGCTGGCAGAGAAGTGCCACCCCCCGTCCAATCCAGTGGGCCTCTGGCTCGTCCGACGGAAGAATCATTGCAATCACAAAATTGGTGGAGTGGCCTGTGGTGGACAGCGTTCCTCTCCTCTCACTTGTCTTGTACACGGGAGCTATGTAACTGGGTCTTTCCGGTATATCTGATCTTTTACAAGGCTTTAGCCACATCTGTAGCAAAGAAAGAGTGAGTTCTAAGAATGTCTCTTTATCAAGACAGGGGAGAAAGCACTAGTTCTTGTGGCTTCTTCCCCCATACACAAACAGCTCCAGAAATTCACCTAGTGACTCAGGCCTACTCAAAATGAGTGCTAAACTCTTTCCGTGGGATGCAGGCATTCTTCTGGACTGCTCTGTTGTCCAAATATGAACCAGAAGAAGGGGACAGTCGTGCTGCTATAGCACAGTTTCTAGAATTGCAGGTGGGGAGGTCACTATGTGCAAGTTCAACATTAAATTAGGTGTGCGTGTGTGCCAATTATTGTGGGTTTAATGCCACACATGCATTTTCTGACCTCTCTGAGACCATTTGTTTCAATGGCGTCAGGTTGCGAAACACAGTAGCATATTATTGAGTGTGTTAATAAGCCCCACACAGCTTGGTTCTATACAGAAGTAATATACAATGAGTATATAAGCGAGTGTGGGAACACAGCCTTAATAAAGCTACAAGGCTCTTAATTGATGATTATATAAATACTCACCACTGGCATAGTATCATACAGGATTTTGGGATGAGATTCCCCTAGCCTCTTTTTCTTCCTGTTCCAGCGAGCTCCATCCAGGAACAATCCGTGAATGAAGACTCCTTATTTATTTAGAAAGAAACACGACAAAGCACATTGGTTATAGACACCATGCGCATGAAATGGCAAAGGAAGGCACATGTTTTAAACAGACTGTAGGCTTGATAATAAGGTCTGAGCAGGAAATACTCTTCAAAGAACCCATGAATAGGTTCCTCGCCTTGTGTTGCTCCAACAGTCAAAATAGTAAGAAACAATTTTGAGTATTATCTACACATGAATGGAAGCAGAAACAAGTTGCAGCTTCCCACTGGGTGTACAGGTCTAATTACATGCAGAAATTTACACATGCAAAAGGCTCATTGTGAATTAGGATCTACACATAGTGGCTTGATTCTGTGGATAAAACAAATGGCACATGAAAAGGCCACTAGAATTCTTGAGCCACAGACTAAGTCTATACAGTCGTACCCTGGATCCCGAACACCTTGCGAGTCAAATGTTTTGGCTCCTGAACACCACAAACCCGGAAGTGAGTGTTCCAGTTTGTGAACGTTCTTTGGAACCTGAACGTCTGACGCGACTTCTGCGACTTCTGATTGGCTGCAGGAGTTTCCTGCAGCCAATCGGAAGCTGCGCCTTGGTTTCCAAACGTTTTGGAAGTCAAAAAGACTTCCAGAATGAATTCCATTCAACTTCCAAGGTATCACTATAGTTGTCAGGCCATCAAAGAGTTGGCCTATTTTATCACTTCTTTTTTTCTTCTATTATTTTCTTCAAGCACAAAGGGCAGGGAGACCTGTGTTCAAATTCCCTGCTCAGTCATCAAGCTCCCTAGGCAATGTAAGACGAGTAACATCACCGGTCTACTATTTCATAAAACGTATTTCCCAAATACAACTCAGCCTTCTGCATCCAGCTACCATGATGAAGGGCAGGATACAAAGGTGATAAACCGCCCCCCAAATTCTAGCGTGGTTGCATTCACCGTCTTCAGGCGCGTGCTTGTACTCCTTGTCTTCCAAGACTTCATAGTCAAAGCCTAGCAGGTCTATCGGGATTGTGTATTTCCTGGCAAAATTCTGCTGGGCGCCGGTTAAGAAGGCTTGCGTGAAGAAAAACCCAGAGAGCCAAAACATCGGAGGGGTTCCATTCTCGTACCACGTCTGTAGCAACAGCAAGAAGAGACAGGGTGGGAATGGAGCTTTATATTGCAGCATTAAGAATGCACAGGGCAGGAACCTAGGGTGTTTTGAGTCCAATGCTACTACTGCACAGAGGCTTTCATTACAAGTTGTACAACCCCCCGGCTCAATAGGGAATGTGATATGTGCAGCAGGGAAATCGGCAGAAGTCGGCGGAGCAGGAGACCTGCTAGCTCCATGCGTGATTCCAACCAACAAAATCCTGATAGTTGAAGGAGACACGCCCCTTTTATACGGGCACATTGGTCTGTAGAAAGTTACAGGCCCTTTCAGAACTTGCTGCAAACACAATCAGCATGACACAGAGGTTGCAATTAATTGCCTTGCTCTCTTTAAAAAGGCTGCATACATTTTAGATTTACCGTATTTTTCGCCCTATAGGACGCACCTTTTCCCCTCCAAAAAGGAAGGAGAAATGTGTGTGCGTCCTATGGGGCGAATGCAGGCTTTCGCTGAAGCCTGGAGAGCGAGAGGGGTTGGTACGCACCGACCGCTCTCGCTCTCCAGGCTTCAGGAAGCTATCCACAAGCCTTGGGAACCCGGTGCGACTTCCCGCCGGGCTCCCAAGGCTTGCGGACAGCAGCCTGCAGCCCGAAACCTGGGGAGCGCAGCGGAGCACACCCCGGGCTTCGGGCAGCTCTCCGCAAGCCTTGGGAGCCCGGCTGGCGGATAGCAGCCTGTTCTGGGGTCGGGGGGAAATAATTTTTTTTCCTTTATTCCCCCCCCCAAAAAAGACTAGGTGCGCCCTATGGACCGGTGCGCCCTATAGGGCGAAAAATACGGTATTTCCTGTCATATTTAGATTTATTTCCTGTCATATATTCCATGCCGGGGAACTAGTTTGTGAAGAATGCTGGTAATTGTAGCTCTGAGAGGAATAAAATGAAGTTCCCATGATACTTGGAGGGTGTGTGTGTTTTAAATGTAAAGGTGTATATGCAGCCCTCGGACTCTTATTTAATGCCCTCTGTGGTCTTTGGCATTTTTCCTTTTGGGAAGGAAATGTGAATTAGAACCTGACAAGCTATTTTCAAGCATATGTAGATTGGTCTTCTGCACTTGTGGATTTTATACTGCAGCCATACACATAACAGAAAGTGCAGCTCATGCCCTGATCCACTTGCCTGAACACTTTCCTTCACTGCCATCTCCTCTCTCCCCCAGCACATCTCCTGGCCCCAGAACCAGCTAGCTAACTACCTTGCAAAACATTTAATATACAGCAACCCCCTTAATGTGCAGACCCAACAAAACAAAACTGCATTTCTTAGCATATGCACTGGTGACCAAACTGCAGTAAAACAACATGACTGCATGAACTGAGAAGCAGAGGCCCACATAACGTGTGCAATTGTAATTTGGAATCAAGACAGAAAATCGACATCCCAACACGTTGAGTTGTTTCTGACGGGCTCACCTGCAAGAACTTCAGTCTGGTAAGAAAATCATTCACATAGCTGCCGAGCGGTTTGAGGCTCGGGTAGGACTTACTCATCCACATGCCTGGGATTTTGCCCTTCAACATGCTATTTACCACCTCTTCCAGTTCCGCAGACATCACAACCAGACCCTGGTTGAGATAAGGAGACAGGGAAAAGACATATTAGTGGACCCCCCTATGTGTCTTCAGTTATTTTTATCATGCAGTTTTTCAACTGTTATCAACAAGCTTCCTCCGGTCTCAATGGGTTTAGCCTCCGTTTCAGCTGCAACTACTCAGTGTTGTCAAGTTGGAAACCACGTGATCTGTCTCCGTTATAAGCTTCTACTCCTGTATTTGAGTCGGCAGGAATTCCAAATATGCATTAGTGAGTGGGTTTGCAGAGGAGAAGTGGCTCATCCTGCTTCATTCCTTTGCTAGCCTTGAAAGAAGGAAAATCAATCCCCTGTGACCAGCATGGAAACGCTGTCAGCTTGCAAAGGATGGGCAGTGAAGCATCTATCATCTGCCAGTCCACTTGGTCAAAGGCATTTTTTTACTAGCCTCCTAAGGGGCTACAAGGCTTCCCCTGCTCTCTGGGCCAGCATGGAAACAGAGCAGTAGATGACAGCTATACCACACGTTTCAAGCTTATGACTTCCCCCAAATAATTCTGAGAACTGTAGTTTAATGGTGCTGGGAATTTTAGCTCCGAGGGACAAAATGCCGTACCTAAGATTCTTTGGAGAAAGCCATGTGCATTAAATGGATATTACGGGTGTGACCTTTGTATATTACAGGCTAGTAGTTTTATGTCCTTATTTACATGGTCAGTTTGAATTTATGCGATCTGATCACAATATTGCACCAATATGCGGGAATCCCTGGGCCTGTCAGTGGGGTTGGGATATTGGTGCTTAGCATTGCCCTTCTCTTAGCCTCTGTCTGCCCCCTCCCACTCCCTCAAGCAATGGGACAGTTTAGTCTATTCAGCCCGTCAGTTTTGCAAGTGTTTGTAAGTCTGTTCTGTCTCCCTGCATATCCACAATTTAAAAAAAAAAAAAAGGCTGCATGAAAGCATTTATTTTTGAATGCTTTGTACCCTAAAATACACACACTGCACAGAAGCTAATTTAAGGGACAAGGGCGATGAGCTCCAGTATCTTCACTTCCAGCCGTCTTCACTCCCTTGACCCCAATTTTGGTATATTCTTTCAGCCAAGAATAGTATTGCAAAAATCAGAGAAGTGCAAAAACTGAAGAATTAACTTTGTTCTTTTCTGTATATTAGTGAAGAAGCCGAAATAAGTCCAGTCTGCGCAACACTGCACCATTAATTTTTTTTACTTTTGCATGCATACTCTCAGCAATGCGCTGCTGCCAAGATCCTGTCC